CATTGGTGATAGAAAAGTTGAGCCGCTTCTCAATATTAACTACCGACTACAATGGTTTCTTTCTAGCTATTTGCGAGGAGTACTTTTACAAGGTGAGTTCCAAATTAAACAGGACTTTTTGAATCTAGCGCCCTCATATGTCGACTTGTGCGTTATCTGCTATCCTTTATCGACTTTCAGTGAAAATTTCATGATATTTCATCTATTGGAAGTGAAGTTATTGCGTTTTAAGTGTCAGTATGTTTTTGTCATCGGTGCGAAAATGAGCTTCGAACAAAGAGCCAACATTCAATTTTGTTTTAAAATTGGTAAAACTTTTACCGAAACGTTTTAATTGATCATAGTGATGATTGCCTATCTCGTAGCAGAGTGCACGAGTGGTTTCAACGTTTTCAAAGTAGTCGTGAGGACATAAATGACCAGGAACATGTGGGCCAACCAAAATCCCTGGTCACCGAAAATTCCATCGAAACTGCGCGTGAATTCACAACAACCAGCCGAAATCATCATTGAAATTCATGGGAATAGAATTGAACATCGATTTATCGCATTTCGACCGAACATCAACCACTCCCCGTATTCACCTGATATGGCACCGTGCGACTTCTAGCTTCCGATGAAAGGAAAGCGTTATGCAGACGTGGAGGCCATTCAAAAGGCTTGCACCGGCCTACTGGCAGCCATACCGGGCTACGAGCTAAAGCACTCGTTCGACATGCTTTTGAGCCGTGCAAAAAGCTGTATTAAAGCGGAAGGAGACTATTTTGAATAAAATTAATTGATTTTGCCATTTGTTTTGTCTTTTTTTAAGTCCTGTTTACTTTGGAACGCCCCTCGTAAGTCTTTTCGGATTGTCTCGTGACTTACTGTTTTATTTTCTCGGCGTGGTTTGAGGAATGCCACTGATCTGCTTTTAAAATTTTTCAATGATGGCGTCTAGAAAGTTTCGGTGGTCTGTTAAGTTATCTACGTTTTATTTTGAATTGTGTGGGCATTTTGCAAAGAATTAATGGACTACGCAATATTTGGCGAATTTTAAATTTGTTATTTTTTTACCGTTCGGCTTTAATGTTTGTTATTTCTGCGAGTGATATTTGTTAAGAATACTTAGATTACCAATACCAATTAATAAAAAAGGAGAATAAAATACTTTCATTTATGAAATAAAATTTGAAAAGTGATTTCAGTGATTTTTTCATTTTGCAAGGAATTATTGTAATTGACATTAAATGGCAACCCTTGAAGAACGTCCTTGGCAAGAGGCTTAATGAATTTATGATATGAAAAAAAAAAAACAAGTTGTAACCCTTTTGAAAACCAAGCTTCTTTTAATGTATTTAACCACTAAATAATTATAGGCAAAGCTTTTGTAGAGCCACAAAAAATAGTACGCACGTATATGTATATGTACATGTAAGTGCAATTGTATGTACTTTCATATAAATATTGGAAGAAAAAATAAATTATAAATAAATTGTTAACTCCATTTTCGAAAAAAAAACTTTGTGTACGAATATACGAGTATGTAAGCGTAACATATTTATTATAAGACTGTCTTAATATGTACTGTCTAAACATGTGTATACATATAAAGAAATAAGATATGTACACGTATGGATGTATGTAGATACTTGTATGACAAAAAACATAAAATATTTGATATCCACATTTTTTGACCTGTTCTAAGATTTTTTTTTATTTTAAATTCAATTTTGTTCACTGTATTGTACATAAACGCCTTTGACTGGACAAAGCTTTGTGTAGTTATAAGGTCAACTGCTGTTTTTTCTTTCATAGAGAATTTTTTGGCGAAGAATTTAAGCTCCGCTACTTTGTCACAACATTGCGGCCCACTGACAATTCGTATGGATGGATGCGTGCGCCTAGTAGGAAATTGAGCACAATGTGCGACTGCTGTAGCCGGAAAGCCATAGTGCGAGTTCTGGTCCGATCAACATTAAACATTATAGAAAATTAATTTTTTTAATTGTTGTTACAAAGCGCCATATAATATATACACGTACATACATACATTTGTACATATGTACATATGTATGTATATTTCGAAGCGGGAATAAGAAATAAGCGTTAGTTATAAAAAAGCCGATTACCAATTTACCAATAGGGTAGTTATTTTGATTTGCGCATAACTACACACACACATACATATGTACATATACAATAATTTTGATTTCTAATAGAAGCTTAAAGAATGCGTTGGCACAATTCGCTTTGAAATGTTGTCAAGCTCTTTAGCAAGTACTTTGTGTAATAGCGATCGATGTATGTACATACGTGTAGGTACATAACAGCATATGTAGAAGCCATTGTTTACTTTTTCGCACTTGAAACCATCTGCAATTGATATTTAGCGCGCATGTTTCGGTGTACCCAGTCAGCAAAGAATCGCACATTTCGTAGATTTTAGACTCGGCCGCAATAGCCGTGTGGTTAGCAATGCGTACTGCCATTCGGAAGGCCAGGGTTCGAGTTCTGGCTCGAACAAGGTCCAAAATTATAAGAAATTAATTTTTCTAATTTCCGAATGTGTTTCTGATATGAAACAAAATTTCCTCAAAAATTCTATCGGTCATTCGGAGATGGCTTAGATAAACCAATTGTTGGAAAAATCAATTCACATACCACAAATTGGAGGAGTAGCTGGGCCGAAGTCCGCTTCAGTGATTACTTAGCGGCAATTATAAATACATATATGTATATGTATATACATAGGGGTTTATATAAATAAAAAAATGAAAAACAGTAGTTTTCGCTGCAAATCACTTAAAAAATTCCCTACCAACTCTTCCATGAATTTAAAAAAAATTGTTAATTGTCTTTTTAAAACATATTTTTGCGCCCTCACAAATCATATAATTCACAACCTATCTTTTAAGAGCGCCATGCAAATGAAAATCGCTTGCCAATGAACCAGCGGCGATTTTATTTTTTCCATAAAGCGGACTCAGTTCGCTGTTATACAATACTGTATGGTTGCTGTGTATTTGGTGAGATTGGTATTGAATCATTCACTATAAGCTGCTTTCCTGCGGCTTAATTCTTAAATTGGACCTGTACTTCCAGTAATTGGACAGCCTAAAGGAAGCATTGACCCACTACCGCCCAGCTTTGGCCAATAGAAGGGAAATTGTGTTCCATCAGGGCAACAGCAGACCGCATACATCGATAGTTGCTTGCCAGATTCTCCTCCTTAAAATCCAGACCTCCCACTATGAGATTACGATCAGATATTAATTGTTTTCTGACTATGTACAATATTTAACTTTGAGACCTTTCTTGCAAGCTGAAATTTGAGTGATTGCTGCCAACGATTCTGGATTGCTTCGTTAATGCCAACACTTGTAAAAATTCTTTGCCTACTTTATTTAACTTATAATATAATATAAATGAAATGCCGGTGGGAGCGCATTAGAGCCCACTGATCAGAAAACCCATTTTCAAATTGTTTTCGATGTCGGTCCGACCAAGTTGTTACCTTTTGCACTTTTTGTTTGCTGGGTACATTATGTATACACACGTACGCAGACACACTTACACTCTCACAATTCACTAAAAATTCTACAGTTGGTTATAGAAAAAGTTTGTTTGTAGCAATGGCAGCGAGCTTTATTGGGCACTGGCCATTGATTAATATGGACATTGTTGCTTTGTAAGGTGAAAACTTGACTAGGGCGCTCTAGTTTTTGGTCTGTTCGTTTAAATTACAGGATAGTTTCGGTCAAGTTGTTCAGTGAAAGCTGAGAAAAATTGTGCACCGCTCAGCTCACAAGCCGCGCTAAAGAATGCGCTCAAGGTGGTAAACATAACCAGAAGTAACGTTCCGTACACAAAAATATTTCAATAAAACACTTACCGAGTTGATTACAGCGTGCCATTCCTTCCTTCTGTCAGCTGTTTGGCGTCAATTGGAAGTGCCATGTACATCTAGAGCCTTCTCCACTTGACTTTCCAACAGAGTGACGTTGTTTCTCCTCTTCCTCCGCTTCCACTGGCGGCTACTGCATCGAAACTTTTCAAAGCTGCAAAAAACTGCAGCAGAATGGATATTAGTACCAGCGACACATATAAGAAGTGGAGGAGGCAGGCATGATTCAGAAGTTGGGACCCCGCTCAGTTTCTCTCTTACTCTCAAGGCCCTCTTAAGGTTCACAAAAGCGAAGACTATTTTACTTCGAGTTAAATTAAACTCCCATCTTACAGCGATTATAACTTAACCTATTTTAATGCGATACCTCGCATGAACTGTTTTGGTTGCGGTAGGCCTGGGACGATGAAGCGGGACTGACCGGTGTGCACAGCGCAGCACAACATCTGGTTTTGGACCGGTGATGAATGTTAGGTCGGATGGATGGATGGATCCAGAGACAGGGGAGCAGGACAGATGTTCTAATAGGTGGACTTAGTGGATCTGCTGATTCCCGCTGGTAATTGTAGGTGTCCAGTTTGAAGAGATTAGTTTGGCGTTTTCATTTGTGACGGACATTAGTAGCAGCGACACATGTAAGAAGTGGGGGAGGCATTCATATGTGAGATTTGCCCTTTTCGTTGGTGATGGGCGGTCATGACGTGCGCTCTTATCGAGTTGCCAAGATTCGCAGTTTTTTCTTTCGAGAGCATGTCGGTTCTTTTGGAATGCTTCGTGGATCCCGATTTTTTTCGGCTGGCACCAGAACCGTTGGTGGCAATAGTGGACTCTGAGTTAGGCGACAGAGAATCTTTTAGACCTGTACATCACTGAATAAGTTAGAATTTGCATAAGGTTTTGTTATTTGTAAACATATTTATATTACTTTTTGTGAAGTATTAAGAAACCTTCTAATTGATGTGATAAATAACAAATTAAATTATGCATTTCAAATGGGTGCGAAAACGTATGAGAAGTTGAGCGAAAAGTCATGTGGAAAACCCCACCGTATACAGCTGAAAAAAAAACAGATTTTTTAAATGTTTTCTTATTTCTTTTTTATTATTGTCGACAGATACGAATGCTCTTCAATGATGTTACTGCCTTCAGGGCGCTCAAGCAGCGATGTTCCTTCCATACAGGCAGCACAGAATCAGCTTCAATTCTCCATATTAAGTAAGCCGGGTGCCGTTCAAACCACGTCGTCGAGAGAATTAGCAAATTCTGCGCCGGTAACAGCGGAAGAACACAACAATGTAGTGGGCAGTACTGCTGCTGTGACACTCAGTAATCAGAATAAACACGACCTCAGTTGCAGTGTCTTTCCATGTGGAAATATTGGAAATTGGGAAACAATTGATCGGCATTTACAAGCAGTGCAAGAAAATCTCAAGAATGACTGGACCGTGCACATGAGCAAGGATGGACGGTTATATTACTGCAAGTAAGTAAAGGTGCATATGACGGTGGCCTGCAAGGTATCCAGCCTAACAAAAATAACATACCAACAATGTATCTGAAACTGATTTTTATTTTTAATCATAGTCTTCTTGTAACTCTATACATTACTCCGAGCGATGCTACCAACCCTGTTGACCGTCAAAATGAGTTGATTTCAGTTGATGCAGCTGCTGAACAGCGTGACCAGTGCACTTGGGCATGAAATGCCATTGTGATACCGCTTCCGGATACTTCTCACATTCTCAGATAGACGAACCATTTTAAGTGCTTTATGAAGTTTGTCATATTGCCTATATCAGCCGTTGCTACGCCAGCCAGGCAATCGAAGAATTGATGTCCTATGTACTTAAATAGATATGTCGTATAGTGCATAAGCATAGATAGTGAAAGCAGATGATGACTCCTTTCCATCCTCTCCGTAGCTTCGAAAAAAAAACTATTCGAAAAATATCCCATTCCCCTACCCTGAAGATCCATTACACAGTGCCCAGTTAGTATATCCGTTGTTGTATTTATGGTTAACTGGTCTAGGAGAATCATATTTCTTAATGTCTTAGCGTCCAATACAGGCCAAAACTGTTTAGTGACATTATAAGTTCTTTCCTTGAACCATCTGGTGGTGACCCGTCTAAATAATACTCGGCGTTTTTCTCTGTTAAAAAATACGCCATAGTTTTATCAAGAAAAGTGGCTGTTTGTGTTGGCCCAAAAAGGTTGTCGCTTCTAGGGACTTCAGGCTACTCTTACTCCTTCAAAGTGTGGGACGTTCGCCGTAGACACCTACACCGACCATATTTGATCCCATTGGTTTTTGACCGGTATAACTACTTTGAAATCTGTGGTGAAGTTAGTGAAGGTTCTCTGGTAGACGGAACCTTTTTAATATTTCACTTTCCCATGATTTATTATTTTCCTTTGGGACACCTTTTGTAGTTTTACCGCAGCATTATGCTGTCCCATATGTCAAAGGGCTGCAGATTTCAGAGAATATTCTTATGCCTAATCCAGCATAATTAGCTCACTTTTTATCCGCTCTGCAAGATATTTCATAAAGTTTGTGGAAATTTGCCATTCACTGCTCTTCCATATCTCTCAGCAATCAGCCTAGACCCGTACTCCACTTTATAGGGCTCCTTTGCTAACATACCAGACCTAACGACCCAAATATTAGGTCTAGTAAAAGAGGTAATCCATCATTTTCGCAATAGATGGGTTTAGTGGTCTAGTGGTTTAGTGTTCTATAAGCGCGGTTGGATGGCGTTAGAAAGATGATTTGCTTCCCTACGGTCAAAGTCTTAATTTGGTCCTGCTGTGTCTGCAATTGGACCGTCTGAAGGAAGCAATCATCGAGAAGCACCCAGCTTTGGTCAACAGGAGGCGAATTGTGTTTCATCTGGACAACGCCAGACCACACACATCGATAGTGATTACCCAGCGCAGAGAGCTTGGTTGCGAGGTCCATATGCCTCCACCTTATAGGCCGGACCTCGCACCACTTGTTCCTGCCTGTGGGAATGAATCAAAACTTTCAATTCAATGAAATTTCAGGTTTATCGCTTGTTGTGTTGAAAAAAATATGCACATATCAGATGAGCTGTTCTTAACTGTTCTAATTTACTAATTAGGCACGGTCAGATTTCGTTATTGTGTTCATGTATGTGCGAGTATATATAAATTTGATAAGCAGTCAGGCAATTGCTGGTGGATGAAAGCAACATAAACTTGCAATTAGTGGCTTACGAGGAATTGCGCCAAGCGGTGGGTGCAAATGAATATAATTGCATTAACTAATTTTGTGACTGACTGCACATCAATAGGTTCACTTGATGGAAATTATAGTGCACTTTTGTTGATGATGCAATATTATCCACTTCATTAATCAGGCACCATTTAAGAAAACACCAACAATTTAATACAAAATACTGTTAAAAACTAAATAAGAGGAATAATGTTTTATTTCTTTCCTTAACAGCCATCATACACAAATATCCAGTTGGTTGCCATCTAGAGAAGATTGGCACAAGAGCGATGAGCTACCCTACGGTTGGGAACGAGCTGTAGACTCGAAAGGTCGATCATATTATATTAAGTAAGCTCTTAAAATAAATATTGTAAAAAGTGAAATTTGTATCTTTACACTTTCCATTAAGCCATCTTAACAAAACGTCAACATATGAAGCACCGGAGTATACACGAAGTGACGATAAGCCGCCTGAGCCACGAAAAATAACCCTTCAACGCAGTCCTTCGCTCGGATTCGGTTTCGTCGCTGGCAGTGAAAAACCGGTGATAGTGCGTTTCGTTACAGACGGTGGGCCAAGCATGAATAAGGTAGCTAAATTTAGACCACGTATTACACATTTTTTTATAAATATAATATATAAATATGTATATTTAACATAATACTAATGACGTACATCCACTAAAACAGCTCCAACCAGGCGACCAAATTCTCGCTGTAAATGGAGAAGATGTCAAAGAGGCACCACGAGATCATGTCATACAATTAGTAAGAGCTTGTGAATCTCAAGTAACCCTTATGGTTTGCCAACCTGCACATTGCTTAGCACCCGGTCGTAAATCCACACTCCTCTCAGCGGGGAAGCGTGCGAAATTGCGTACAAGGCCAAGTCGAGTGCGCTTTGCTGAAAGCGTTTGCGTGAATGGATCCCCCTTATTTCCGGTGAGAAGTTAACTTTGATTTGTACTGTTAAATTGCTTTTATTGTTATTTATGTTTGTTTCCATTTTCCATTTTCAATTTAGTCAATAGTAAAATTACCTAATTAAACATTAAACATTAATAATTAATTCTTACCCTTCTTATCGTTAAATAGGCATCTGCGTTTTCTTTGGGCGATATTTGTGTTCCACCGATGGCAAATGTGCTCAAAGTATTTCTTGAAAATGGCCAAACAAAGTCGTTTAAGTACGATGCGTCTACCACTGTACAGGATGTAGTGGGCTCACTTCTTGACAAGCTGTGTCTATCAACAAGCGAAATATTCAGCTTAGTACTGGAGCACGTAAAAAGCTTGAAGAGGAATAAACTTACATTACTCGATCCTGAGGAATCGCTGGCTCGTGTAATATATCCTTTGGCATAATTTGTTGTTATTCACAGAAATAAAGACTTTACACTTGCAGATAGCTGCGCGGCCTGGTGCACATAAGCTTCGCTGTTTATTTCGAGTGACTTTTGTGCCAATATCCGCTGCCGATTTAGCTCAGAAGGATCTGAATGCACTCGATTATTTATATATGCAATGTTGTAATGATGTTACGCAGGAGCGCTTCGCACCGGAACTGCAACCGGAAGTCGCCTTACGACTAGCCGCTTTGCATATGCATCAACACGCTTTGGCCAATAATGTGTCGCCAACAAAATTAACAGTGAAAGTGGTTGAGTAAGTTGAAAAACTGCGTCCTTTATGCGAATCGCAGATAATTTAGAAACCAAAAAACATTATTTATATATACTCATATATATATATATAAGCCTTGTGTTTTCTAAATCAGCAAGAGTATTTATTATATATGTACATATTTTCCAATTTCAGGCGGGAGTTCGGCTTGGAAAGATTCGTTCCCATTTCACTATTCGAAGGAATGAAACGCAAAGAGCTTAGACGGCTGATATCGCATTTTCTAAAGCTGAACGCAGAAATGACTGGTTCATCAACCAAAGTTTTGACACAATTGCAGGTAAAACCACAAAGAAGTGCTGCCTTTATATCTTTTATGAACGTTATCAAACTTCGATGATTTTCACTGTCATTATATCTAGCAAATCGGTTGTATGGGACTATATGATATGGTCTTCCGATTCGATGACTTTCAATATAGCCCATAAGTATTATGCCCAAATCTCAATACAGAAAAAACCGATGGTATATATTTTGTAGAGCTTCATTGTTTCGCTCGATGGTCCATACAGTGTAAAAATACATTTGCGTACCAAGTTTGGTTCGATCAAAGACTGAAAAACTAGTATACTTTCCAAACGACGGACAGGTGAAAATAGCTAATTTGATTCAGCTTGTCGCTCTGATCCAATCGGCAAACATTTTAGTAGGTCTGCCTCAGGTACGAGAGAGTGATTTTATGTTCGCGGTATGAGAGGATTGTAGGCAGGGCCTAGGCTCTTTAGGATCGTAACGTTTTCAGCGACTCATAATTAGTAGAAATACCAGCTTTCATTGTTATTAGTATTTGAGCTATGGTCAACTAAGCAACATAATCGGAAATGAAAAGTGAAATATCGAATATCGTGCGTCATAAAGCTCCTTACCAAGCAAGGAAAATCAGTTACGACTAGCTACTCTTATACGGGAAAACCCATGATGTGCAAATGTCACAGCTTGTTTAAACAAGTAAGGGAATACCCTGAAGGTGCCCCGAGGTCAGCCAATAATATCGAGGTAGCCACGTTAACGAAAAAAATTGTCCCCGATGATGTTCGTTTAAAGAAGAAAAAACTCGCAGAAATGGTTGGATACAAGCAAAGACTAAGGTTAGCCTAAAGTGATGCCGAGTATACATTCGCAAGTGTTTCAGAAAAATTTATAAAAGCTTGAAAGATTTCCTTCCATTTACGTTTTAGATAGGTATAAATGTATCCAAGAAAGCCTGGCGCACAGTTCGTAAAATAAAGAATGGTAAAAAGCAGAAACAAATCTACGAATTATCAAAATATTTTAAAGAGCAATGAAAAGAATTTGATAGTTTTTTTTGTAAGCATATTGTTATGCTAAAAGAAAGGGTTTAAAGTAAAAAAGGCGATGGAAGAAGGGCATTGCTTGCTAACACAAGAATGTCATGCTGTATGACACAAAGACCCAAAATCAACCAACAAGTAAAACAAAATTATTAAAAGGCAACCAAACACCGCTAGGCTAGGAAAAAAAAAAACAAAAACAAAATACAATTCGATTTTGGCCACGGTATTATGTCGCGAAACCAATAATCAGAAGTCAATAAGTTTTTGGCTCACTTCTCTAATTTAATCTAAAAGTGCTGCCTCTGAACGAAGTGGTTGATTTTCATGGAATGTTGTAATTTTTTACTTGAGCAATACATTCGGAAGTATCGACCTCCATACCTCAAGGACTTAAATATCGTTATATGATGCAGTTGAAAAGGCAAAACTCCTTTCCATGACTTTCATTATAATTAGAACATAGATATACATTACAATAACATTTTGTGCGTATTTATTGTATGTGAATACTTTTGCAATTTCAGGCAAAGCTGCATTACTTAGATATCATAGCAAATTTACCAAGTTACGGCGCTAAGTGTTTCAGTACAAACCAAAGGGAAGGAATTGAACGTGTTTTGCTTATTAGCCCACGCTTTGGCTTAAGTCAAATACCGAGTGTAAGAAATTCCGTGGTGAGTACCTGAACAAAAAAAGTAATTTTATTTAATATACACTATGTGTAGTCATTAGTGTTTTTGGGAAGTGTGGTTTGCTACTCCAGCTGAAGCTCATTTTTGGTTGACTTAATAAAGAAAACTGCATTGAGACGCTTACATCCTCAGAAAGTCATGGTTTGCTGTACTCTATGAGCACAGAAAATTGTTAGTCTTCAAAAATGATGCCGGCCATAATGTCAATGTCAATGGGGAACGCTATACTCGTATTGTCGAATTTATTCGAGCAAACCGCGGCAGTCACGATAATGTCAAATTCTAATATAAAGTTATATATTATATAATTCTTAAGTAGCATACAGCATTAAGCTGAAAGGGGGGCAAAAGTTTAATTTTCTATAACATTATCATGACAACATGATGATGCCCAAAGTAAAGAACTACAAATTTATTTATTTTTAAATTTTGCATTTTACTTAGCCTCAGCCCATATCAGCCATCGAGGACTTCAGCCACATAATCGTGAATCGTGATGATGACGTGTCATGCAGTGTGGCAATTTTTATGCGAGGAGATAAGGTTGTAAGGTTCTCGATGGAGGACCGTGACGCATGCGAATTCTCATTAGTTTTAGCTGGATATCACCGATTGTTAACGGGTATAATGTTAGCTTAAAAGTAATATTACGTCAATTTATAACATTTTTCATTATAGGCAGGATACTGCCTGTCGAAAAGGAGCGTGAGCAATTTTTTGGTGACGACAATGCACCGGCGTATTTGGCACAACACACAGTTCTGCCGGCATATTGGAGTTATTTATTACCCTTTCACGATCGAGCACACAGCATAAATTTCCTTACGCTGCCCCCGTATAAGTCGGTAGCAAACAAATTAAACTCGTCTGGAAACGAAAATCAAGAGATATGTCTTACCGGCGGATCGAATAAAAATCAAGTCATTGATTCTTCAAATTCGGCAGATAGCGAGAAATCCCAAAATAAGTTGCCATTTGTAAGCAATGCATCAATGGATCTGGATATACACAGCGTTATGGCAACCGAATTACTGGAAGAAGCAAAGGATTCCGGTATGAGCGATAGTAGTGGGGGTGGCAGCAATCACTGCGATCGGTCAAATGGTTTAAATACAAACGCATTTATGGAGGCTAAAAATGTGGAGGTACTCAGGAGGGTTCATGAAATGCAAAGAATGGTGGAAAACTCAGAACAGTATTTAAATGAGCAAGGTGAAAATGCCCCTGAGTGTGATGTCCGGCATTTAGCTAGTGTTAATAAGAACTTTTATGACAGCATAAGTTCGTGGCAAAATGATCAAAGCAGAAATAAAGCGGGAACCACTGAATTCGATAGTGATTGTGATAGTCTAACCAGCAGTAAGGTATCTTCCATTGAAGACACTCCAAATCCAGGTGTGCTCAAGCACAGCGACTCTTTAGTACTACTCGCTGAAGCAATAAATCAAGACCTAAATGGTATCACTCAGAGCCTAAATTCTATTGGTGGAAAACAATTGGAACCTTCAGATAACATATTAAGCATAAGTACGACATGCAGTCCGAGATTCGATCGTAAATTCAATAACATCGGGCAAATACTAAGCAATTTACAGTCGTCAGATTTCTCTCAGAGTGAGAGTGATTCTGAATCAGTGAATTCTCCGACAAACTCTCCTACTGCTCGTCGGCCAGCTCTTTTGTGTGCTGCTGAAGGAAGTAGCCATAAACAGAATTTATCACACCGTTGCAGCTTCGGTCTGCATAGTCCTGATGGCAATAATTTTGGTCCCGATAATAAAGATTATAATTTAAAAGAGTACTTAAAGCAACTCAAAGAGATAAGTAGTGCCCATGATGGGAATCATGATACAGATATTGCTGCAAAGAAGCTCTCGGAAATATACGGGTTTGAAATAAGGGAAGATACTTTTATTGAAACTGACGCTGACTTAATTGACCTGCGTTCTATACCTCCACCTCGTACCCCCGACGAATTAGATTCGATATCCTTACTGAATGCAGCTCCACAGGGATTTGATGATGGATCGAAAAAGGCATCTATCACGGATGTGGGTGGTGACTTAGACACATTTATTGCAAATATTGTAGTTGCGCCACCCACACAAAAAGCAACTCCAGCAAAGGAGTTAACACCAGAGGAGATAATGTCATTTATTATTCCTCCACCACCGACATTGGAAGACCCTGAAAATTTAAAAAAGTACGACAAAGTCGCCGATCAAACCGAAAGCTTATACAGCAATTCCGTATCGGAAACGAGAAAATTGTTTAATAATACAGCAAATTTGCGGCCTGCAAATATACAACCGAATCAAAAGGAAACAAAGGAATTAGTTATGGGTAGAAGTGAGCATGTCATCGAGTACTCAACAGTTGAGCGCAAGAGTAAGTTCTCATGTTGTCCAAAATCGACAAAGGACGAGAGTGATACAAGTGTTTCAGTACGTACAAAACCAGCTTTAAAAGTACCGCCACGTTCTCAATCTATTGATAAACCACTGCCTCCAGAGAGACCTCCTAAAAGTGCAGAGTTGATTCAACGTTTTTCACCAAAGAAACGGCAAAGTACTGCTGCTGTAACACAGAATCAGGACCAAAACGTTCAGAAACCTGCACAATTCTTACGCGAGGAAAAGCCACCTTCACTACCCCCAAGATTGAAAACCTCGCCACGCACTGAGGAACGTGCTTCGAGCCCATCGGTGAGCGAACTACCGCAAAAACCACCTTTACCGCCAATAGTCAACCGCTCCATTCCGAGAAATATACCATTAAATGCTACCAATTTAAAGAGTGAAAGCTGTACACCACTTTCGGGAGTGACACAAGCTTCATGTATATCCTCGCAATCCAGCCCAAGCGCAAATCACATTAGTAATTTTCAACCAAAACACAATACTGTTTTTTCCCCAAACGGCCGTCAAATTATAAATAATGATTACGCCTCGTCCTTCTTACAAACCTCCATAACCGATAATCTTCCTTCACTCCCTTTACATTGTTCCCCTCAAATGACACGAAAAACACTTGGTCCTGTATCTGTACCTCTAAGCTCAAATATAACACCAAAAATCGGCGAAAAATATATCATAAAAAACGGGCACATAATCGACAGTGAGGCACTGTTGGCCAAGACAGATATAGCAATGGCAGGTCTACTGATCAAATTAGATCAAGTAGCCGCTCAATGCTCAGCGGCACAGCTTGCTGGTGGTGGTATTAGTATTGACGAGGATAAGTTCCAGCGAGCACGCAATGAACTGACTGAGCAAACATTGGCTTTAGTGACGGCCTCGAAATTTTTAGTAGTAGCAATGTCCGATATGACATTATCGACTCTACCTGAACACCTTACTTCCTGCCTCACAGCACTACGACGCATCACTGAACTTACCCAAGACATAACGCGTCACACATCGTCACCACTTCAAACACGTAACATTGTACTAAAAGTGCATGACGTGGCATCCAGTTTTAGAGAACTTGTAGGAGTGCAAATTGGTCCACTGGGTGCCGGACAGCTAGCTTTGCAGGCTGAGTGTTTAGCTAATGTGCTAGCCACGTTACTGCGTAGTTTGCGAGTGTTCTCGCCCTAATCTCTACGATAAAAAAAACTAAAATGTGACATAAGAAAGGAAGCGCTGAACTCAAAGCAGTCTCTCCTTTATCTTTTCACGCTTTATCATTATTGGAATGTGTGCAATATCTCTAATGCGATTGCTCTATATCAAAATCTTAAAGGTAATAAGAAAAAGTTTCAGAGCAAGAGTCGCAACTTTTACTGGATGCAGTTTGCATTTCAAACTGATTACACAGATTATATATTTGTGTTTCCCTTCTCCTACAAGTATTTACTAAATATTTACGCGATTTACCCCCGCGAGCTGTACACATTCATACAAATAATTCAGGAAAAAATATATGCATGCTTAAAAATATTACACAAATAATATTAAATTAATAGACTTAACATACATCCAGAAACGGTCATTATATTATATAATGCTAAAGGATATTATAACTTTGTCACCCGAATCGAGACACGTGTGCCTCGTGAGCCTCGTGAATCCATATTCCCAGCATACATACTTATTGAAGCTGATAATGGTTTTGAGAATGCACTAGGCATATACTGGTACATTCTTTTATGTACATACACATATACTCGTACATACAATACATACATATGCGAATGAATGATATTTATCGAATAACTTTGGACTTGCTCTTTTTTGCTACTCTTTTACAGGTACAAATTTCGTCTGATTAGGATTAGATTAGTTATACTCGAATATTCAACCATATGACATAATACAAAAACAAATTATATGTATGTTTAGTCTGCAAAGATATTTAGCACAACCATTAAATGGATATACAATACAATAAAATAAGATATTTACGCAAATGATGGAGGAATTGGAGGTATGAGAAATTATTATTATTCGACTATGCGGGGTAAAGAGAAGTTAAATTAATTAGTTTTATTTCCTATATTAAAATAAGACAATAAAATAATAGAGTTCACGCGGAAAATGAACAACCAATGTAAGTCCAAAGTGTTGCAACGGACAGTCTCAGAAAAAAAATTTTACAAATTTTGCTCGAATAGGCACGCTGATTGTTGTCACTAACTTCCTTTTCTTTATTTTACCGCATCAATCAAATATTTCAGTAAAATCCACACTTCTACATAATATATGTATATTTTTATAATATCGTAGAAATGGAAAGAAATTTATTTATTATTTTTCGAAAAGATTAAAGCATTTTTTCTTATATGTAAAAGACTCGAACTTGTAACTTTTCTTCCAAATTATATTCAAATCACTTGCAAATTATATCATTTATGAAACAAACTATTAACGCAATAATACATACATATACTTAACTATATATACATACATACATACATATGTAAACTCATTAAAAAATAATTTCTATGTAGCGCCACATTTTATCTATTTGCTTCTTTTACATACATACAATATTGCAAATAATGCACATATTTTTTAGTCTCTTAAAAACACATTACAAATAAAAAAAAAGAGTAAGGAACTCCGGTCATGTTAGATGTCAGTAAGAATATTGAGCTGTTCGAATTTATTCTCAATATAATATGTAGTTAGGGAGAAAAAAAATCAAAAAAGTTGAAGGAATTGGACTTAGTATGCATATATAACTCGAGAAAACCGTTAAGCATTTATTAAGTGCGAGTTCTTGACGAAATTCACATCAAGACTCGTGTAAATTTGACTGGCTTTTTCCTCACCGAACTAGGCTTTGTAAAATAAATATAATAAATTGGTAACAATTGTTATTGCCCATCAACCTATCCACAAATAACTTAATAATTCATTCCGTTTTCTTGAACAATATTAAATTTTATAATTAATTTAAAAAAAAATCAACTTTCATTTCTTCCCATTAATATATTCTGAGTAATTTCTTACTCCGCGTATGCCTTTCTAAGCAAAATTAATTACGCGTACTCCGCTAAATGAAGTTCGATGCGTTAAAATCTACCTTCCCACACAGACTCACTTGGGCCTTAGAATGCGACCAGCAATTGTTGGGAGAGATATACACGGAAAATTACTACACTACGAGTCCATATTATCAGAGACATAATCTATTGAAAAAATAAAATTTCGACTTTATATTATATAATGCGAACAATTTGTAAAAAGATTAGTTTTACTCCCTAAAATTAAAAAAAAAAAATTAAAAAAAAACTATATGAATTTTAACTACACGTTTTTAAGCACAAAAACACCAGAAAATCTTACTTAGAACCATTCTTTGGAAACCACTTGCAAATACATTTATACAAACTAATCCCAATTACATTCCATAAAAGTAAAGGAGCAAATAGGAAATGCTGGGTATTTATGTAATTACCTTAAATCTGTTGGCAGAAATCATAGATTTGCAGCAGAGAGAAGAAAATATCAAAATATTATTTTTAATATAATAACAAGGTTAACAATTTTTAAAAACTATTGTTTACATATGTATGATTATGGTATTCAAATCGATATAATATTTTACTATAACCCAATATTAATAAGACGTTTTATATGCATAAATTCATAAATGTTATATTGACCAAAAATAATCAAAAAATTATCTTGTGATATCCAATTTTGTGTAATTTATTGGAATAAGTTCTGATCTAAATTCAGTAAATGTCTATACAGAGATAATATGTGTGAATCCCCGGAACAGCTAATTTTTGATATATTTCTTAGATAATGCCAAATGACGTTAACATTATATTAATCTAAATATATGAACGTACATATGTATGATGTATGTGCTTACATGTACGTATATAAGTTTGTTAATTCGTTTTAAAAGAAACATGCATATGTATATATTTATACGTATGTATGGATGTAGTTTCTGTTATATGTTTGTATATTGAAAAATCAAAATAAGTTTTACTATATATGTATGTATGTACATATTTAGTTACAATTCCAATTATCATTCAATTGGTCAACGTGAGTATATTAGTAATAGTAATGTAATCAAATGGCGTTAGACGCATGAAACATACATACACGTACATACATATTTATTAAACAAACCATAATATTCCGTTGTATATATTTATATAAAGTGTAACTTAATAATTATTATAAAAAAACTTTACACATGTATGTATATTTACTTAGTTGTACTGTACGTGAATAATTGTTAGTACATACATACGTACATAGTACATCACTAATAAAAAAATATTAAAATAATGGAAACTAAAGATATTAAAATAAAACATTTGCAATTCGTTTTCTTCTATAGCATTGAAATCATTTCCGTCTGGAGAAAAATATCGCACGTGGGCAGGTAGACTCTCTTTTATATATTTTTTATTAAACGATCAGTTCGTAACTAAATAAACGCAAAAATAACTTTCTCATCATCTTTTTAATATGTGGCGGTTTTTTTTTTTGAAAATATTTGGATATTTTTTTCGCTGCGTCTGCATAGACATTTTTTCATCGGGGCCAATCCTATAATTATTGAGTGCCCATCACCATATCCCTATAAGAAGTACTTAAATACCTAAGTTGAGGTTAGAATACCAGGATTCTTAGCCTAGGTACTCAATTAAAATTAATATCATGTTGAATGCACCAGATCAGGGGTAAATATTTACCTTCATATCCTTTCTCCCACCCGCTACCATTATGCATAGCTATCTGGAGTTCGACTGTTAACAGGGTCCGGTGAAAAACTGTCAGTATACACTCAGCAATATTATTTATGAGTTAAAGCTTTGACCATTGGACCAAATTTGCAGATGGGGTAAGTTTATTTTGGAAGATGCCTTCTGAAAGAACTTGTGCAAGTTAGCCAATCTGAAAAAGACGCTTCTTCTCTTGAACTGACATCGACAAAATGAATTTTAAGGAAATAAAACGAGTTTTTGAGCAAAACCGTTAGCACTGATGTATGTATGTTTGTAGGGAACAACCTGAATACTCTGAACAAACTTTGAAATAATTAGTTCACTATACCCAGACACGTCTATAATTAAATTTTAAAAAGTAGGCTAAGGATCCACCTTGTCTAGAGAAAGATCCCCCGCAATTTTTAAAGTAAAAAGTTTCGAATTGGCGTAGTAGAAATATATTATAAATACATACAAATGTAATTCTTATTCTCACAACTGTAATCGCAATCAATTATGCAGGCTCGTAGTAATGCAGGATTGTTTCTTCCGCCACACCAAAATTGACGACTCAAATTACCGCTAAGGATAGATATACCCTAAAACTTTGAATGAAAGTTAGAATGTATTGATTGCGACAATCACAGCTCAGTTGATCACAACTATAAATTCCCTGCGAGTATGGACTGATGGGTTTACCAACACACTCACACGATTTCGGGCAGCACTAACACATGCAAGTTGTTTTGCTTATCTCTCTCTTCTGAGTACATACAAACTGAAAGAGAATGCAGTTGAACGGATTATCCGAATTACTTTATTCTTATTTTCGAGTAGATCGCCATTTTTTATTGTTTTCTCCGCAGCAGATAGAAGTGAAAAATACACACATATGATGAGGATCCTGTACAAGCTGTGGCAATAATATATTTTCGATTAATTAAGTACTTAATTTTTCATTTCTTTTTACATTTGTTTATTTAAGGCACTCCATATTCTCACTTCTCACTTTGCCGCAACAGCAGATTTAATAATATGCAATAAAGATATAAATAACATTTTGATTCGAATATTATTTTTTTATTTTTGACGGCTTTAATCTTCAATTAGATCGCGATTATGACGGAGGCGCTCGTAGAGCGGAGGAGCTGAATTACCAACGCATGACATGGTTTTGCTTACAATATTTTGCAGCCTTTCGAAAACGAATTTATTGTTGTATTGTTATTTCCTTTGTAAGCTATGTAAACCATTTAAATGATCTATGTAAAATATTGGAATAAAGATTGAATATTAATAATGTTCTACATAAATAAGTAAAATATTATATGTAGGGAAAACTTTTGTCAAACAATTTCCTTCGGCATCAATGCTCTGTTGTCCGACAAGAATGACGAAAATGCACAAGAAAACGAAGAGAGAATGGCGTACACGTATATAAATGTAAACATCACGTTTGTCATTTCGGCATTAAGAATGTGATGGGAAAATTGTTCTACGAGCTGACGGGATATGACATCATGCATTCCTGTCATTTGGCGGCTCAAATAATCGGAAACTCTCTTGCAGGGTTAGGCGTCATACTATCAAATCACAATAAAGGTGATAGCTCAATGACTACTGGCTACTTACATTGCCATGAGAACATCTGCATCAAAATCTTTAATAATGAAGTTGGTTCAATTTTGTGGGTCGTCAAAGACTAAAGAGCTTCCATAGTTTTATCCATATAAAAGCTTATCATTTGGTACAATGCAGGTCTTATTTTGCAGATTTTGTTCCGACAACTTAAAGTTTTGGTGATTCCTCAACATTAATTTTATTAAGTTAAAGCATATACATAATTACAAAGTTTAGCGTACGTTTCTGAAGCTGTTTCGCCCAATTTGGCGCAAATGCGTTGCCCTTGATTTCGTTTTTCAATTTTCGTGACGAGCAACACGAGCACATGTTATTCAACTCAACACAGCAGCATAGGTAGCATGGTACGAAAATTCTTTATCTCGCGAGAGCTTTAAAATTCCACATTTTTGTAACATTTGACAGAAGCGAACTAAACAAGTTCGGGCGATGGCAAATACATATATCCATAGTTGGGTGAAGGATGGCGAGAGAAAGGAAATGGCTACCACAATCGCGGCAATCAGTCTCATTACTTAATTGTCACACCTCGTATTATTTGCAGTTTCGGACGTTCTTATGTATGAGATTTGCAAATCGAATAAGAAAAATTAATTAAAAAGTAAATTTATTTGTTCAACGGCGGCTATTACCTGATAGTTTTTAAATCAAGTTAGTTGCTGTCGTTTTACTTAACAAATGGCTGCCGACAGCGTTCAAAACTTCCCAACAGAGCTCTCAAAGTTTGGCACCGCAATACGTTCAGCAAAGCCAGCCAGTTCTGGGCCATTGGCTTTAGTTGTAGCGCAGTGTACATCGAGTGCAAACGTGTTAATTGTTTTCTTTTGTTCGGCGTCTTGAAAAGCAGAAAAAATATTTATAATTTTTTGGCTTGGAAATGTTTTCTTCAAATCGTTAAATTCTCAAGTTCGCTAATATTCTGAAAGATATTAAACACCCTGTGTTTTTTCTTTAATTTTCTAATTGGATTTCTGGTTTTTATAAGTTCTCTGTAAAGTGTTCATCCGTGGAATCTTTTGTCGTTTTCTTTTGATTGTTCATTCGTGTTTTGCATGCTGCCAGAACAAAATTTATAAAGTCAATTATTAGTGGTTGTTGTTCTATTTATGGCAAAATTTTTCTTTCGAGAACAAAGAATTAGTTTCCTACGTGGAAAAAGTGCAAATACATAAAATATTACACAAGATAGAAATTAAAGTCGGTGCAAGAAAGCATAAGCTTTTAAAAGAATACAGCAAAAATACATAATAAGGGCGCAAAATATAATAATTGGCTTCCTGTTTTGTGTGGTAGAAAGCTTTTGTTGTTTTTCTGCAGAGTGCTTAAAACGCTGACTTCAATGCTATTGTTATAAACGACACAAGAGTCTGCAGATATTATTCAAGTGCTTTTGAAGAATTGGAAAGAGGCAATATTTGTTTAGAAGTTGTGCAATTGTGGACAAAAAGAATCAAAGCGTTCAAATTGAAATAAAAGATAATTGAGCAGCAAACAAGATACATTAGGACCAGTGCTGTAGCTCTCGGAACAACACCTGAAGCTGCAACCTTGGCAGATATAAATTGTTTCGACTGAGAAATTTTATGCCGTAGCTTTTCCTTGGATATGGATTGTAAATTTATTGTTTATAATGCAGCTCGAGATAATAATTTAGCTCAATTGAAGGTGAGTTGATGGCTTATATTGGTATACGGTTTTCATTGATATAAATTTTAGAATTCCAGTTTAATAATAGAATGGGAGACGAATGTTGTGACTTTTTTATGAAAAAATAAAAATTCTATTTGAAACATGATGCAGGAATTAACAATATTGATTTTAGCCATTTTTTGACAATAACTCTCATTGAGGCAGAACCACTTCATCCAGCAATTGTTAAAACAGTTTTAAGCCAGCATCCAATGCATCTGCGTTAAGAACACTTTCTTATGTCAAAATATATACAAAATATGTACATTACTACTTAATGTTTGATGTGAAAGTACCAACATATAAGCCTGAGTTTTTCAAAGAACATCTGTGAAAACAGAACTTTTGAATTTTTGATTGTATCCGAAAAGGAAAATAAATGTTTTGTTTCCTAATAATTTTATTTATTTTTTTAAGTTTTTGCGTTAATTTGTAGCAGTTATTTTCAATGAATAATTGTGTCTTTTATAGTGGAAAACTTGTTAAAGTAAAGAAAATAAAATTAATAAAATTAAAACATAACGCACTGTCGTTTTTTAAAGGCATCATCTTGTTAATAATTTAGAGAAAACAAAAAACTCTTTTTTTACCCTATACCTCGTGTGCTTATGTACGCGGTTATGCATCTCTGTTTAGACGATAGTTTACTAAAAATGTATTTATTGCTAACAAAATGTTTAACATAGTTTTTGTTGTTTTATAGCGTTGTTCTTTTCGTTTGAAAAGGTCATCTTGCTTATCTGGTTTTCTTTGACACAGACTTCGATCAGTGAATGTATGTTTATGTGCTGGTATATGTGTATACCAGTCGCACAGTATTCCAAGCGTTTGGGTATCATTGAACTTGGATCTCCGATATTAGTTGAAAGTTCGAAAAAAACAACAACATTAAAAAATGATGCTTTAATTTTTCTACTGTAACATATTTATGTATTATATTTCCTATAATAAATACAGGTTGGGTCGTTGTATTTGTATATTTTATTGCTAAGTTCTCATTTACAGCATTGCAGCATATGAGGGGGATTCATACTACGTAGACCTAATATACTTTCCCGTATCGACATAACAGGAAAATCGCCACCAAGTGATTCCAGGTTCATTTCATAACAAAAATGTGTTCATCTTCACATCCCAGTATTTTTATGTTTAATTTAGTCAATAGTCATATTTTTGTGCAGCATAGCCTTTGCTACAGTTCTTAATTTCACACTTTCGAACAAACTTTAAAGCTGCAATGACTTCCGTTAAAGTGAAATGAATGGCGGCTAATGATGTTTAGAGAAGATGGGTATCCAAGTTTTAGTATTCCACTGTATAATGTAATAGATTATTAGGGTTAACTATTGTGATTTAATGAATCACTTCTTCTAAAATTAGTTGTTCCAATCTTGCTAATCAATTTTTGCAGTTGTATTTGTAGTTTTCCATTTTCAAAAAAGCATCAGATTGTGATTACCCTAAACATTTTACAAGATTGCTTTTGATTAGATCGCCAAACAAAAAGCTGTTGAACTCAATCATATGGATAGACATATATTTTGGGTCCCCATGCTGGTTAGGGGTTAAAGAAATTACCAGCGGCAAGCTTGCCGCTCCCGCTACAGTCGAAACTTCATACTGGAACCAAGTACTGTCACTCTTGAAATATTCCCTGAAAGCAATTTGGGAAATTCTTTTGCAGTTTCTACAACAAAACCACAACATTGTATAGCCATTGAAATTGCCATTGGTATAGGCAGTATGAATCAAATCCAATTTTCGGTCAAGATATATTAATTGAAATAAAATAAACTCATACATATATTCGTTGGGCTCTCCTTCAATAGACTATCTCCCGAGCCCCGCGTAGATATCTCTTCATACAGCATTACAATATGGACAGTATGTCTCACTTACCAATGAGCAAGATCATTGTGCTTAAGTCTATAACATCACTTCCGTATGTAAAAGTGGAGCTCTCAGCTACATACGCATTATTTATTCCTACAAACATGCATACTTATGTTGACATTGAACTCTCAATGCCGAATCATTACGAGTTTGATATAAACACAACAGACATGATCTCACAAACAGCTTTAACAATCGAAAGCTTATACATAATGCAACACATTCTTACATATTTATATGTATAAGTGCATTCACATAACCCAATAAACGATAATGACTATGAATTCGAAGCGGTAAAGTTCAATATTACTACTAGTAGTAAATATTTTATCGAATCTCAAATGTACCACACTCTCAATAACACAACGATATCAGCGAGCAAAGATAACCGAATATTTACAGGTAATTTGCGCTAAAATTCATCTTGCGTGGGGATATAATTGCCATAGAGAAACCGCATTCATCTCGAGTTCGATGCGAATTCGTTGTGTTTATTGGGAATTCTGTACACATATGCAGACATCTAAAATCTGTAGGTATGCGCTAAATCGAATTCGTCATTAATAAACTCTTTTTACCTATGCATTGCCAATGAAAATACATTAGCGTTGAGTAAAATAGCATTGCGCTGATTGTATTTTGAGAAGGAAAATTAGAATATATAAAAAAAAAAAACGTGAATTAATTTGAAATGATGAGCCCTAAGGCAAAACTACAATTGCAATATATAATTTTCAATTAAGTTATTTAATTATTTGATTACAGTGCTGAGATGACCGCAGTCATGGTCATCATTGCGCATTGTCATTAGGACGGCCAGGGTTTGAGTCCTGGTTCGACCAACATCCAAAATTGTAGAATACTAATTTTTTCTAAATGCGGTGGTCCCTCGGCCAGGAATGTGAAATAAATTGCTCCTCTTAAAAAAACAATCAGCCACTCGGAGGCGACTTAGAATAAACTGTAGGCCCCTCCATTTGTTGGGAAAACATCAAGAGGCACACCACATTATGGAGGAGTAGCCTTGAGTGAAGGGCGTTTTTTCCAATACACGTGCGCTGTTATGCGCAAAAATTTTCTTGAATTCAATTCAAGGCATATTTAAGCAGTCCGAAAGCTCATTTAATGCTAATTAAGGCTGTTGAGCCGCTGGTATTGGCGATCATCTTATTATGATATAAAATTAATTGCTTAATTTGTAGCTACTTAGTATTGTTGTAAGCGGTATTTATCACGGGCCCATGAAAATATTAAATTTTAATTTAAAAATTGAAATATTGGTCAAGTAAAAAGTTCGTTCGGATTTTTATTGATTTTTCAAAATATAACTTTGTGTACATTTGCCCGATATAAGTCAAATATGCGCCGTTTTGTTCGTAAACTTGTTGCCAACGAGATGCATACTTCATTATACCCCTCGTAGAAGGCTGCGTCCCTATTGGCAAAAAAACTCGGAGAGCCAATTTTCACAGGCCTCTCTTGAGGCCAACTTCTCGCCATGTCCAGGAAAAGATAGTAATCACTTGGTGCCAGGTCCGGACAATAAGGTGTGTGCATTAGGATCTCCTATCCGCTCCTGGAGTTTCTGGCGCGTCACCAAAGACGTATGTGGCCTGGCGTTGTCCTGATGGAACACAATTCGCCCTCTGTTGGCCCCTTCTGGATGAACGCTGTCTTCAAGCGGTCCATTTGTGGGCAGTAGGGGGCCGAGGCAGCAGGTCGTAGTAGATGATTTCTTACCAATCCCACCAAACACACAGCAAAACCTTCCTGACCGTCAATCCGGTCTTGGCAACCGTCTGGGCCGCTTCCCCGAGCTTTGACCCCGACCGTTTGCGCTCGATGTTTTCATAAGTGACCCATTTTTCATCACCAATCACAATCTGCCTCAGAAACGGGTCAATTTCGTTACGATTCAGCAGCTATTCGCCGAAGGAAATTCGGTCCATTATGTTTTTTTGAGATAGTTCGTGTGACCCTCAATCATCGAGCTTCTTTTTGAATCCAAGGTTGGGCGAATAGTTCCAAATGGTTTTTTGGCTTATCTTTAGCTCCTCAGCAATTAAATAACGTGACGGTCTGTTTCCACTATTTCCATGATTTCATCGAAATTTTCGATGACAGGCCTCGCAACGCGTGGTGCATGTTTGGCATCGAAATTACCGGAATGGAACCTAGCAAACCACTTTTGTGGTACGTTCGTTTATAGTATCGGGCCGGTTTGGCTGCCTTGATCGAAGAAAAATTTTTTAGTGGGCGTGGTAGCCTCAAGGTTACGAAAACCCGACCGAAATATATTATATTTATGAGCTTTATTGTTTCTTTTTTTTGTAGTAAAATAATAACGACATACTTTATTTACTGTAACATTAAATTGTGTCTAGTATTTCTTCAACTAACTGTTAAAGAGCTTTGCCGGTGTGTTTTTTTTATAGTCTAAAGAATCATCTATTTCATAACAAAGAGATGAGATCAAACGGCTATAATATTGCATAAATTCCTCAGAGACTAGTGTGCCTAGTGGTCGAATACCATAATTAACGTAGTTCGTCCGGTGAGATAGGTTAGTTGAGACATCCTGTGCTTTAGTTAGTAAGTGGTAGCGATTGCACAAAATCCTGTTGGTGCCTCGTCATCCATTGGGCAGATTGTTAAAATTTTCCACCAGCTACAACCATTCAAAATCGATATTATTTACCTTTTTTTTTGAAAACTGTGATCAAAATGCTATGTATCCAATGGCAATGTGAGTGCCCATGAGAACCAAACTTTGCTTCAATCTGAAGAATGGGCTTTTGTTGTTCGCGCTGACTCTAAAGTTAAATTAGCTTTCGCTAAAGCTGTTGCGTTGCTAACTCCGTTAATTTGTTTTATTTCGATTAAGCTGGAAAATAGTGAATTTGCATAAATTCGAAGAAATTGAATTTTATTGCGACATTTTAAATGCCTTACGATAATTCCAAAAAGGTGAAATATCATTTTGATTTAAACCATGAATTCTTCTTTCTATGAATGTTGAATATATAAAACCCAAAATACAACAAAAACAATGGAATCATAACTGCATAATGTCTCTCCAATCCCATTGTTATTATTTTGGATGTAATTATTATTTTTACTATATATAAAAGTTATAAATCTTTCTGACTTACCTGCTGCGTGCTCCGTTACGGTTGCTGTTCTTGTATCTAATGCAAAACCTCTCTTCTACAGCATATTCTTTCCAACAGACCGGAGGCGGAAATAAAAATGATCGTTGCTGCAAAAGTGAATGGAGCTACGCCATTGGTAATTGCATGCAGGAATGGCCACTACAATATTGTAGAACATCTCTTAAAACGACATGCAGACGTTGAGCAAGTGGGTTCAGTGAGTTTCGACGGAGAGCCCATTGAAGACGCACCACCCTTATGGTGCGCTGCTGCTGCTGGGCACTACGGTATCGTAAAGTTGCTGGTACATCACGGGGCAAATGTGAATAGCACTACGCGCACAAACTCAACACCACTGAGAGCGGCTTGTTTCGATGGACATTTTGATATTGTGAAGTTTCTGGTAAACAATGGCGCAGGTATTTTATATGTTGTTATATGTCAATCTTATGTACGAAAAAATGTATGTATGTATGTTTATTTTGTTGTAGATTTTGAAGTGGCAAATCGTCACGGCCATACATGTCTAATGATCGCATGCTATAAGGGTCATTATAAGATCGCACAGTATTTACTATCATTAAACGCGGATGTGAATAGGTGCAGCGTGAAAGGAAATACAGCTTTACATGATTGCGCAGAGTCTGGATCGCTAGAGATTTTACAATTATTGTTAAAGCATGGCGCGACTATGGATGTCGATTATTATGGTATGACACCACTTTTGGCAGCCAGCGTTACTGGGCATTTGCCAATTGTAGAACATCTTATTACTTTGCCCTGCGTGAGTCGAGAGAGTCGCATCGATGCTTTAGAATTGTTAGGTGCAACCTATGTGGACAAAAAACGTGATATGATTAGTGCTTTGTCGTTGTGGCGACGAGCGATGGAGGATCGAAACCAAGAGCCGAAAATACCAAAAACTATTAGCGAACCAATAGCCGCGTATGAGTATGTGTCGGAAGTGGAGACAATAGAGGGCCTCGAAGAGTTGGTGCTAGACCCCGATGAAATGCGAATGCAAGCTTTGGTTATACGGCAAAGAATTTTAGGTCCAACCCATCCTGATACAAGCTATTATATACGATTCAGGTAAAGGAAGGAGTCTATGTTGTAAAACAATTGAAATTATTTATAAATATATATATATAACCACAAACAAATTTCAATGTAGAGGGGCACATTATGCAGACGCTGGACGATTTGATCGCTGTATTGAGTTGTGGACGTACGCCTTGACGATGCAGCAGAAAATTCTTCAGCCTCTAAGTCCAATGACTCAATCATCTTTGCTATCGTTCGCTGAATTATTTAGTTTTATGCTAGTCGAAGCAGGTCGTTTGCTACCTCGCGGCCGCATTGTACCTCCAATTGAAGCGTCAGATATGTTGATGATATTTAATAAGGCTGTAATGGAAGTTGAGCGAGGTAATAAAATCATTTGTTTTTGACTGAAACAATAAGTTTTGCCTTTTCAGGCCTCCAGTGGACTCTAGATCAGGAGGAAAGTCCAGTTTCATTACCATCCATACATGATTGTAATCACGATCCCAACGCACTGAGTCGCGCATTAGTAAGCGCTTTACATATTGGCTGTTTATTAGCTTCACTGGAAGAAAACGAAAATTTCTGCCCGAATATGCGAAAACAAATTTTGTATTCTTTGTATAAGTTGAATCGACTCAAAGTGTCAGTTCGATCCGGACGAACTGCTTTACACTATGCTTGCTACCGCGAAGGTACACTTGTTGGTCGTTATCCTGCTTGTCAATTTCCCTCACCAGCGCTAGCAAAAGCTCTGCTTGAAGTTGGAGCCGACCCGAATGTCAGAGATGATGTAGGAAACACGCCTTTACATTTGACTGCAACAGCGCAATCGTGCCCCAAAACATTGGCGAAAATTCTTTTGAAATATGGCGCACATCTGGTGCGTTTAATCTATTTATAAAAAAAAAAATTGTAAATGATATCAATGTTTCTATTTCAGGACGCCAAAAACGATGCAGGGGAAACTTTCGAAACACTATTGAAGCCTAGAAAAATACATGAAGTTGTTAATCCTCTAAAATACACATCTTTAGCCTGCCTAGCTGCTCGAACCATACAAAAACATCACATTCAGTATGTGAATGTCGTACCTTCATCACTTTATAAGTTTATTGAGATTCATTAAAATGCTAGATTGTGACAAAAGTGCTCACAAAACGTTTATAGGGCAGGACAGTCTCAGTTATGGATTAGTTTGTGATCGATGGGGGCTTTAATTTTAAATTTCATTATATTTCACGTGTATATTTCTTATCAAAAATCGCACAAAGAGATATTTAAGTTATTTGTTCAAGTATTTACGCCATTTCTTCCCGCTGGACGTTTGCACTGATTAATTTAATATTAAAAAATACTATAGCCTGCAGCGAGTTAAATGTTAATTATTATTCAATCTCTGATTCTCAACGAAAAACATGAAACATGAACTATTTGTAGGGATACCAAATGACAAACAGAAAGAGGGTCTGTGCAAATCCCAACTAAAGGAATAGATTAAGGTCTTTGAATAAGAGCCGCGGTCCAAACGGAAAGGCGGTAGGCCATAATGAATGAATTAACGATTTTTGTGTTTCAGATAAAGCATAAATACATACTTAAATATATTGTTAGATAGAAAAAGAAAAAAAAAACAAAACAAACAAACGACTAGGCAAATAAGCGTAAGAAAATAAAAATTTTGCAAAACAGTTATTCAAATAAATGTATACATAACTAAATTCTACGGTTATCAATACACATTATCGATTTTACTTAAATTATCTTAGTTGAGGTAAAGTAGCAATAATATGCATGTTATTCTTTAAGAAGAGCTTCATTAAATTGGCATCGCCTTATTTGCAGAAAACTGAAAATCCGCTTGCGGGAACAACTGGTTCGAAAATGCATTCGACTAATTGTTGTAAAAATTAGAACTTAGATCCATTTATTAAGCCGTAAGAATTGGATTTTGTATCTGAAAAATATCGTTTAATACAAAATCAGAGAAAAAACCAAAATATTAATAAAAACAAAAACAATTGTGTTTTTCACAAATGCCTAATTATGTACATAAACCATATCTCAGCTTGGCTTTTGTTCTATTTTAAATGGATATTTATTTGTACATATGCATGAATGTGTGCGTATTATCTTTTAGGACGAGCTAGTTACATTTCTATCACTTTTCATTAGCATTACAAATGGATGTTGTGATAACATTGTGAAATTAATTGCATGCTAAAATATGTCTTCGCGCAAATACATATATAAAAGGAAATGTTTGTGCCAAATAAACTTCATAAAATGAACTAATATGTACACGTACGTGGAAATGAATCGCGTTAATTTTTCAATTGTTTTCGGTGTTAATATCGTGTTATTACTATTTGTTGGAAGTGCTTTTACGAATCCAACGAAAACCGAAGAACTCAACATCGAAGATTTTGAAAACTATAATAACGAGATCAATGTAGAGGACGAAGAGGCGGATGCAAAAAACCGTAATGCCGTGAATTCGCCATTACAACGTTGGCCAAGTAACATACTTCTCTATAGAATCTCAACTGATTATAACAAGGATGAAGTAGATAATGTACATGCGGCATTGCAGGTATTCAATGAAAGCACCTGTTTAGTATTCAAACAATATGACCCACGTATTCATGGAAACTCTAAACATATCTACTACAAGAAATCACCGAACATGTGTGGCACCAAAGTTGGCTTTAATCCGCTATCTCCTATGGGGCCTCATGACATCGTCTTAAATCCATATTGCTTAAGTGAACGTGGCGTCATTCAACACGAAACTCTTCATGTCCTTGGTCTTTACCACGAACAGAGCCGGCCGGATCGTAACAAATACGTGCAAATCGAATATTCCAATATTCCTCAACAGTATTGGTCCCAGTTCATCGCTTATCCCGAAATGTATACTACCACCTACAACGTCAAGTACGACTACGAGAGTCTTATGCATTATTCACAGTTCGCCTTCGCGAAAGACAGCACAAAGCCATCGATGCGTGCAAGGAATGGGACTATGGTGATAGAACGCAAAATGGGACAAATTGTTGGACCTTCTGAAGGAGACTTGACGAAAATTAGATTGATGTACAAATGTAATTAGTGGAAAAAATGTTTGATACAAATAATATTTTATTAAGTCAATAAAAATATTAAATGCATTCCAATTTGTAATGAATTTTTTTGCTCTAATATTTAAAGTTATTTCCACGTTGATGTTGACATTATATTCTTACCGCTTACGCAATTATAGCCGTATCAATATTAGCGCGCCATTCGTCTCTTTTTTTCGTTGTCTGGCGCCATTTGAAAAAACCAAGTAAAGTCAGGTCACTCTCCACCTGATTCTTTCAACGGTGTGGAGGTCTTCCTCTTCCACTGCTTCCACCAGCGGGTACTGCATCGAATACTTTCAAAGCTGGAGTGCTTTCATCCATTCGGTTGACACGACCTGGCCAGCGTAGCCGCTGTCTCTTCATTCGCTGAGCTCAACGTTCCGTCGTCTACAGTATTCGCCGTTGCCAATGCGCAAAGGACCATAATTCGTTCGCAAAACTTTTCTCTCGAAGACTCCTAGAGCCGACTCATCAGACTCATCAGATGTTGACATCGTCCACGCTTCTGGGCCATATAGTAGTATCGGTAAGATGAGCGACTTGTAGAGCTTGGTTTTCGTGCGCCGAGAGTTGACTTTATTTTTCAATTGCCTCCTTAGTCCAAAGTCGCACTTGTTCGCAAGATATTGTATTTTAATTCTATAAAAATGTTTTTAATTAAGTGTGTTGGGGTTAAACATCACAACTAAGGAAAAATAGAGAGCACCACCGCTCGATCTTGGTTTCCGTTGTTGTTGTTGCTGCATCTGCAAAAATATTCTTCAAATTTGTTAACGGGGAATATCGCGGGATAAAAATTTGGGTAATTATGATATTTGAAAGTGGAGAACTATTGCATTTTAATTAAAGCTTGCGACAGAGAAGCCTTGCCCCAACCTTGTTCACTTCTCTTTCTATGAGTCAATCAAGACCTTCCTCAACTTCTTCCCCTGATTGGAATGAATCCAAGTACAAGCCATTGCGGACGATAATTTTGGGAAACCCGAGTAGCTCTAGTGTAATTAAAATCTGAATATTGTAGCAGACTAGACTCCTCACACCCCACCAACCATTTCTATACGTTCCATTAAAACAACTCATCTTACATCCCCATCACCTTGATTCGTAGCCATGGAAACAGCTTCAAGTGAGTTGTCAGATGGATAGATGGCTTGGAAGTTTTCGATCGCGGAAAGAGAGTACAACCAAACTTCCACGTCATACATTGCATTCCGATGGCATCTCAAAAAAATGATAAAAACTATTTTTTTTTAAATGTAGTCTGATCGTGAGCGGTGACATCGAAGCCATTGAGTTGGCTCATCAGTCTACCTTACCATGTCTGGGATTTTCAGGCAGCTAGAAGTTGGAGCTGCCTTTACAACCCTTCAAGTCACCATGTATGAAAATTCTCCAGCCATCCAAAGTTTTAGTTTATGCAAGAGAACGATGATGATACACACATCTTTGGAAATATCAGTTGGAGTGATGTTTGACATAGGTTCGTAGTCTTTCCCCTTTTCCGTATAACTGAAGCAGTGGTTAGATAAACTACTCAGTTCCACTTAAACTTAGTCACCACACGTACGAGGCACTTATGACACCTGGCCCGGAAAGCTTGTGGAACAGATCTATTCGTGGTGAGAGCTCTCGCCGAACTTACAGAAAGTATCACTCAAGCTGAGCTACATTTAAGAGGTTATTTTTAGAGCGCAGCAAACAAAGCTTGTAAACGAGACCCAAAATACTAAGAGCGTGAGACACTTCCATTTGCACGTGAGCATGTAAAAGCTTCGGCGAACTTCAACTCATGGTATTGCGCACAACTTACTTCAATAAATTGTAGAAAGTTTTTAAGGAATTCGTGACCTACGTAAACTCTAACACCACTGGAATGTACTCATTTAGCTTGGCTCTGTTCGCTCACATATATACAATACCTTCGCATTTATGTATGAACCTTTGCATCAGGCGCAGGAATTTTCCATTTTATGCGCCTCAAAGTCGGCACTTTTTCATCCCTTTTAGCAGTCCTCTCTGTGCAATCGTGGTGAAAAGACGTTCGATAAGAGTAACTGCCAACGCGGTACTAACGGAAAACAGCATTAATAAATAAAATGTGTGTAGGCGTTACTGCTGCTACAATGAATGCTTAGTGTAAGTGCTTGTGTAGCTGCCCACTAAATTAAAAAATTAATTATTAATTAATTACTTGTCGCCAGTAAAGAGAGTACATGCATACACGTATGTACATACATGTGTACAAGTCTTTCACGTGAACTCGGTAGCGTTTGCGTTTGGTGTCCAACTATGTATATGTATCATTGAAAAGGATTCGAATGTGAAGCTATGAGCGCGGATTATGTTATAGAGATATTCGTAGTGTCTCCTGTGCAAGAGTAATCGGAATAAATACAATATTATTTCAGAAATCCAAATATCTGGAAACTGGCAGAAAAATCGTAACAAAATCTCAAACCAAAGTTTAACTAATTACTTGAATCCATGTGCTAGTGTGTGTTGCCCATTAGTTAAGAGTTTGTGCTGGCTGGCTAAAGCAGCCGCCACACCCCGTACCCATTCTTCAATACCCTATGCCTGGGAGAAAAAAGTTTTGAAGTGGTTGTGCAAAGTGCTGAGAAATTTACATGAGTCAAGGACGGTTCACTCGTTTTCGTGGCTCAGTCGCTTCGGCTCCGTGCGTGATTCAGCGAGAAAAGCAGCATATTCTTGTTCAAATGTACAGAGATACGAGTATATGTACGTCTATGTGTGTGTATGCATCATTCATGGAATAACAATATCGAAATTTGAAAGCGAGAATGCACTGACAACTTGAAACGACGGTAAATAAAATAAATTCAAAAAATTTTCTAACGCAAACCCAATAAGCGCAAGCTATGCAAAAGTGCATATTTCCATTATTTCCTTCGAATATGGATTTCATTCTGTTAGTGTGTTAGAGTTTAAATGAAAGCCCAAATGAAATGAGAGTGAAAGTTGGAAGTACGTACAATAATATCGATGGCTTTGGTAGAATCCTACATGCTCGTAAGTATGTACATAGTATATACGAATACTCATATGTATTATGTGCAAGTGTTGTACAATAGATTTGACATCGAACATCAAAAGCGATGGAGCAATGTAGGCAAAGATAAAAGAAATCGAAAGAAGACCTGATGTGGTGCCATTAATGTCGGCTATTTGGCATTTTGACTTTGAGACAGTAGAGCCATGTACAAAAAAGTCATCATGTACAATTGTATTTGTACGTATGTGCATACATACATACATTGTGTGGATTTAAAACCCTTAAATGCCATCTAGTTCGTAAGTCGTGCGATTGTAGGAAGAAGATAGTGGAGAAGACAAACAAATTTTAAATGAGAGTTTTGGTACCTACGGGTTCCTATAGAATTGAGCCATGAATTGTCAGTAAAAAATTAATTATTTCAATTAATCTCGGAATATTTAGCAATGCATACCATGCATGAGGGGGGAGAAAAGAAATAAGTAATTTTTTCTAATACCGGTCGGTCCTCGGCAGGGGACTTCGGGGACCTTTTTTTAGGTCCCTCCATTCGCTCGCAAAACAGCAAGTGGGCCAGCACTCTTGGCAGTGGAGGGTATTTGTAGTTAATACCATTTGATGTTAATAAAATGCGCAGTATGAAAACGTTAAATTAATTTTTGGTAAGTTCGTTAAATGGAAGTACGCGTGGGTGAGTTAACTGAGATAGCTTTTAACTAGTGCCCATTTGACTAATATAATTATACACTATTTTTAGGCTTCAAATATTGGTTCACCCTCGTTTAACGAAAGTTAGGCTGGAGCTCTTAATGACATATTCATTATTATTAATTAATCATATCAAAGTTCAAGAGCTGCTTGTGAACGATCATTGTCTTGATATTAAGCATTCAATTATCCGAAATATGTGATTAAAGTCTGTGAAATCAAAACTGTTTTTCTCTTCGATTTATGATATTTGGGTTTGTAATCCTAAGTTTTTAATTACGAAGAATTGAAAGCCGTTCTGCCGACGGCGAATCCACTTAGTAACAACATCACTGTGGGGATATATTGAAATTGAGCTTTGGTTTTGTTTTTTTTTCATTAACCAGATGAAGCATACACAGTATATATACAGGACCGACCGATATTAGAAAAAAATACTTATGTCTTTTTTCTCCTGGTAGTATGCATTGCTAAATATTCGGAGAGTAATTGAAATAACTAATTTTATGTAAATGGTTCATCAAAACGTTAATTTTATTTACTGTGAGTTGAGTTATCATGAAATTTTGATTGAGTTGGAATGGCTGCAAGAGAAAGAGATATTAAAATAATAAAAACTCTTAGCTATATGTATATTTGTTTTCAAGTAGTGAAAATACCCAGGTCTTCTTTAGCAGTGCTTATTCAAAGAGAAATTGAAAAAGTGCGCAAACAATTAAAAAGAGTGGAGATAGATCGTGCCTTGTTAGTCACGAAAAATTGCTCGGCAATCAGCATTGCTCATTAATGCTCAAATATGTGATATCTGGTTAAATTCGGTTCCAAAACAGAGCGTTAATGTGCACAAGAAGCTTCACTGAAATAATATTCTTATGAAATTTTGATTTTTGTTTGCGATTTCAAAGTTGATGACATCTGACATTGTATTATTCCATTCACGTGCTCGTTTTTGTCGTATGAATGACATGACCGCGAAAATTAAAATTTTGGCTTGTTATTCGAGAAGAAGGCAACATTCCGTCGGTTTCGCTTTGTAAAATGTTTTCGTATGTCTTCTATCTGTTCGGTGAGTCAATCGCGTAGGGTGAAGGAGACTAGTTCGAATCAAGCGATTAAGTAATACGAATAACAAGTGAGGAAAGACAGAGTTCGAGTCGAAATAGAACATTAAATGCGCCCGAGTATTTAAGTTGAATTTTTTTTTCGCAGAACAAACCTTGATCCACTCATTCATGCAGGGTTCTCACCTACGCATTAAGACACAAATATACCTCCTACAGCAGAAAACGACGGGGGCGCGATATATATTTGGTGTTCTCTTTTATTTGCTCATTTTCCCATAGAATATTTTTTTCGGCTCCTTGAGTGCGATGGGAAAACGAAGATTAGCAGAAAATTTGCTTGATAAACATAGATGTATGTATTGTATATGAATATACATATGTATACTGTGTGTGCTTCATTAATATTTATTTTCAATAAGCAAATTTTTTTGTTTTGTTGGTTTGTTTGTATGAATATATTTTGAATATTTGTTATACAACAAAGAAAAACTGGTAGAAGTGACAGCTGTTTCGGAGATCATCACATCTCCTCATCAAACTCCTTATGTCAGGGATCGAACCAATGGATCCTGACTTAACAGGCGAGTGTTCTACCACTGCACTAACATCAGCCATGTAATCTATTGTTGTATTATTCAGTTCATTATTAACTTACAACTATTAAGTGTCTTAATTAGCTGCTTTTTTCTTAATGACGGGGTTAGTGAGTTGCTTTGGAATTAAAAATTATGCTTATGCGATTTTCCGCCGAGCTCCTTTGATTTTTTGTTGTTTTTTTTTTAATAAGCGGTGACGCCTACAGTTTATCTTTAGTGCTGTCAGAACTGCACTTAAAGAGGTTGGTATTTCCAGCTATTGTAGGTGGCCGTCAATTTTAAAATACAACCGTTAAGGAAAATACCCCTTTCATTGAAAGTAATAACCCAGAAGAAATGAAGAAACGCTTTTAATATTGTCTTAAATATTTTCAAAATCAAGCTCACATATGACCTAAGAAATTGAATTTACTTTTCCAAACAACGACTGTTTATCATGAGCTCACTTTAAGCACATTCCACTCAAAACATCCCAGCACTTCGAATGGAGAAATCGTCCAATGAAATCTTATTTAGGTATTATCGAATTATCATTCTTCACCAAACAGAGTGCACTTGGACAAGAAAAAAAATGCAGGTGAACCCCATCTCTTCACTTTTTCTTCCTCTCAGGGTTTTGGATTAAACAAAAACCCGTTACAAATAAATGAGGAACACATCTCAAACCTGTGTTAGGTTTAGAACGCTTATAAAACGTACATTCAGAAAAATATTGATAGAGCCAACGGAAAAAAATTTTATTTGGCCTTTCTGTTTGAAAACTCTGTTCTTTTAGTATTTAAAGATTAAATTGTCAACGTCTTAAGGGATTAAAATTACCAATTAATTAGTCCGAGTCGCTCCGATATTAAAATCAATTACTCCTTCAAACAAGTAAGAAAGGGCTGGTCTGGGCTGGCAGATACACAATATAACAATATTAAGGATATTGGACCTGCTTGAAATATTACCAGTGACCCCAAGAGTTGGAGCTTCAGTTTCGCTGTAATTGAGGTTGGGTAAAAATTTGTTTGTCTTATGCACAATTTTTCGACTACTTTTTAAATTCAATTTAGTCTATAACCATCCATGACACATATCCAAAAATAGAGTAGAGATGCTCAACTATCGAAACGACGTTTTATGGATGTGAAAAATAAACGAACCGAAACGAAATTGTTGGTGCTGAAACCCCACAAACTCATCGTTAACGTTAATTTTAAAGCGGCTTCTTGTTGGGATACTAACAGAACACTCAAATTTTAACGATTAACATTATATGTTAACGATTTAGCAGCACGGCCGCATTTCGTTTCAGGTGAATACGACATAAAACTGTTTGATTAGCGTCAAGTTTATCGATTATCGTTACGATGCAGAATTGGATAAAATTAATCATGACTTTGTACGTTGATCATTGATTAACAGCCTCATCATCTTGATTCATACCTTCGATTTATAGTCTCTTATCGTAGAGTAGATGCAAAGAATACACAAAATATTACAATAACCTTATATAATATATGATTGGCGACTTACAACCATTGAAGCGACTTTCAGCGCAGCTGCTCCTCCATAGTTTATACTAAGCCACGGCTGATGGTTTTTTATGAGGAGCCTTTATTTCATGTCAGAAGTACACTCGGAGGGGTTGACATTCCCTGCCGAGGGGCGCTCGCAATTAGAAAATTTATTTTAATTTTTCATTTAAATTATTTTCTATGGGTTTTGGATGTTGGTCGTATTGGGATTTGAACCCGAGCCTTCCTAATGGTAGTACGCAATGCTAACCGCTCGGCTACCACGGCCGACAATTATTGTATAATTTTATGTATAGTGGGTACAAATTAGTTCGGTCTGTACTCAAAAGATTAGTGTGCAAGGGCCTACTTCAGTCTTTTGCCTCTTCAAAAATTTTCAGATTTACGGGAAGTTTTCATTTTATATTTATTATTGAATGGATGTAGAAATTTATGGTGAATCTGCTGTAACCGATAATTCACGCAGAGACTGGTTTTGACGCTTCAAAAGTGTTGATTTTAGCATCAAAGACAAAAAAAGCGTCTTGGCTAGCCCAAAAAGTTTGAAGATAAGGAATCGGAAGCTTCACTCACCCTTCGGTCCATATAATTTGGATTTATTCGAAAGCAAAACAATTGGGTGCAGCACGAGTTGAAGCCGGGTTGTGTTATTCACCTCGCATCAGCTTCGTTAAAGACATCAAAAGAAGGGATTTTTGCACCGGATCGTGATAGGAGATGAAAGGTGGATATGCTACGATAACCTCAAGAAGAAGAAATACTTCGCCAAGCCTGGTAAACCCGTTCCTTCATCCTCTCACTGACGCCCAAGAAAATCATACAGGGTTCAAAGTTACCCCTATGCATTGCATGCAAAGCGACCACGTTTCTACGTGGCTGTAACGGCCAAAAGCTACCCGAAAACGCTGACACGCGAGGGTTTACCTAACCTCTCAGACGTTGTTGCTCTCGACTACTGCTTTACGACGGATGCAAAACGATTTGAGGGGTCAAAGGTCTTTTGAAGAAAGCGAAGAATGACTCAATGATTTAATCGAGGAGAGAGAGATAACCCATTTTTAGAGATGGTATTCGAAAATTACCAGAGAAAGTAGCTTCTGTCGGACAATGCTATGAATGACGTATTTCTATTTTATTAATTTTTTTTTCAATAAAAACATGAATTCGTACTTCCAATATATTGAATATTACAATATTAATAAATCTCTGCAAATGCGACAGACACTCCTGTTTCTCTATGAGCTAGAAACTTGGATTAGTAAAAATTCTTTGTGGGTCAAAAAATCGAGGTTCCTTGAACTTGGAAAATACTACTACTACTATTTATATACATATATTATATAAGCTAGGTAGGTAGCCAAGTGGCGGCCGCAGTAGCCGAGCGATTAACATTCGGAAGGGTTAAAATCCCGATGCGACCAACATCCAAAAGGCATTGAAATTTAATTAAATAAAAAATAAAGCTGAAGCCGAAAATGGCTTCAGCGGTTATAAAGCGCCAATTATATATATATAAGCTAGGGCTTCATCAATAGCAAAAATATATTCGACTAAGTTGTTATTTTTGCAATTTTATTATATATATAATTTTTAATTTTTTTTTTCAGATTTAATGGACAATCATGTCATAACTGCAAATAAAAAATAATTTACGGTCACCACCTGCTGCATCAATAAAGTTAACCAACCCAATTAATAAGGTTATGTGTCTTCAATGAGGTGGGTCAAGCGATTAACATGTCTCATGGTATTTTGAAAACCCAAAATTTGAGAAATTTTAGGACAACAGTAAAAGACAAAAAACATATTTCCCACAAACTACTTCCCCAAAAAATAGAAATGCATTATTACTTCCCCATCTTGAGATGCATAAACGGTTTGTCACAGACAAGCTACGCCGGCTCCTCTCCACCAATGCCTAAATTGCGATTAATTTTAAAATAAGCGAATAAATTGTTCTGCATTTACATAGCTTGCGTGAACGAGGACTCGTAGTCCAACGCATAAAATCTACCATGAATTCCATTGCATCGATTACTGCCCCAACAACCGTACATATAAAGAAAGTTCAGCGAAGACAATTAGCCACCCCGTCAAGGGGCAGTCAATGCTGTGGTAGAAGCCTAATAGAATTGGCGTTTAAGCGCTTATTTGGGAAACGTTTGGAAGCGGACAGAGTTGCTAAGTATTGCCTAGAGTTGCAGAAAAGAAAATACACAACCCGGACAGTGGAAAATAGATTAACTAAGCTTAAGTCAAAAGTTTCAACATCAACGTGTAGCGTGACGCTCTGGAGACTAGCCGTTAAATATAAACTGCGACAAGATTCAGTGCACATGATGATAATATTGTTTGCTGTGATCATGTCTGTTGTGATATCGGAAAATACTGGTAAGTTCAAAACACTTTACAGCTTTTCACTCAACAATTTCAATAGTTGTCTCCAAAGTTTTCATTATTTCCACTTAAGCACAACCCATATAATTCACATCATACAACTCGACTTCTCTACACCATCAGCTCGCAGAGGCTCACATAATTTTTATTTTTCACTATTAGAGCAAAACCCACTGCAGACAGTCATACGACATTTTGTAAAACCCAAAAGTTTGTCTGCGTACGAAATACAAGTAAGAACGATGAACGACTAATAATTTTGGGTAGCAATGGTCAAAGATTCTAATGTAGCACCGCAGACGTAAGCCTCTTGCCACACACCCTAATACTCTTAGAGGTTATACTTCTCCGGCCTGCTGAATGGCAGTGAAAATGAAACACCAGGAGATGGTGACCCCGATTCGCTTGTTGGTGACGATGGAACAATTATTTCATAAGCCTACCCAATATTCCACATAAAGCCCCATTAAGTGTATTGTGTGAAAGGCTAAAGCCCATCGTCAATAAACTGACTTAACCTAATCAGTGTGGCTTCAGACGTGGTAAGTCCATCATTTACCAGATATTCACAATGTGCCAAAACTTGGAAAAAGGGAAGACTTTTGAAATAGTATTAAGTGGCTCTCGAAGCTGCCTCTATGCCAGTATGTCTGTATATGGATAGGTGTAACACTTAAAAGAGTACGAATATTTAAACTGTCGATAAACATCATCGAAAGCTCGGTTAGCATCGGAGTGGATCTCTGCGATACTAAGCGAGGCTTCAGACATGGTGACTCCTTATCACTGGCAATGGAACGACCATTCTACCGTCATCGATAGGGAATTCGAATTCACTTTCACTACCGGCTGAAGAAGAGTGCCTTTCTAAACTCAGTACTTTCTGATTATTAGCATTGAGCATTCTAATTGGACGACATTGTTCATAACTGCAAGACAAAAATGTTTTTTTGAACTTTTTTTTAAACCTCTACTGGTATTTTCAGGTACTTTTTACCCCATTGTATATGTATGTACAAACATAGGTATGTAGGAACGTATGTGTACAAATTTCGTATGCTTCAAAGCGGTTCATTACAAATAATGACTCGCAATCACTCTTATATTCAATAAAGATGTTATGCCAACCTTACTAATAGTTATTTTTATGCCCATTTGTAAGCTAATTTTGTGTACTCTTCTTCTTACTTGCAGCTTTGGCATCACAACGTGACTCAATTAAACAGAAAAATCCCAATAACCTAAGCACTAATTTAAATGCCATACCGACGGGAGGTGGAATCGGAACAAGCGCCACTAATGGAAATTTCGCCAATGGCAATCCAAACAACAATAAACATGGCGGCAACGACATTAGTAATCAAAGAAACAATACTACGACTGTAACCTCTGATTATGGCGGAAATTATCTTACGACCTCAGCGACGACTACTCAAAGTACCGCTACTGCAACTATGACTGTGCCGAGCAACACCAGCAGTGCGGTCTATAATGGCACCGCTCAGAAGAATAGTGGCGCCTTCCTTTCGGGCACATCAGTGATGAATCGTAACACAATTGAATTGACTGAAGATGCTCGTAATGGACCTTACTTTGACAAAGCTGCGTCGAAAAATATAACAGCGCTTTTGGGAAAGACAGCGTATTTGAACTGCCGGGTCAAAAACCTAGGAAATAAAACGGTAAATATAGTTCCTTGGCATGTATGAAAATACGTATGTGTTCATTGAAGCCCGGAGAGTGTTTCTGTGAAAATTACTCAGACTAATCTCTGACTATGTTTAATATTTACCTCTTTAAGTAGGGAAAAAATAACGTAGCCGTTGGAATATTCAAACGAAAAATATTTTATGCACTTTTATACGTACGTACTCGGAATACTCGGGTTCAAATCCCCGTGCGACCAACATGCAAAAATAATAGAAAATAATTTAAATAAAAAATTAAGTTAAATTTTCTAATTGCGATTGCTCCTCTGTAGGGAATGTCAACTCCTCCGTGTGTACTTCTGACATGAAATAAACGCTCCTAAAAAAAAACCATCAGTCAGGTCCCCTCTTTTGTTGGAGAAACATGAAGACGCAAAACCAGACTTTCTGTCAATTGCAAAGGCAGCTACTAGATGTCTAACTTTAGTTAATGCCAGACTGAAACAGGGAAGGTATTTCAACGACTCACTCATTGCAGCTTTCCTACATTTCTCACATGTTTCATTGCTACTATTAGCCATTCTGCTTGTGTGATGCCAGCAGGTTGTGGTCTGCCATTAGGCCGACAACAGTCGATCTGTTCTTTCGCTGCCATTGCATACGAATTTAGCGGCATACATGTCATATGCGTTTCATTCCTTGCAGCCCTTGCCTCCCTGCTGTTAAAGATATATTCTGATGTAATACGTTGTGAGATTAATGTTTAAATTTTCGTAGGGTATCAACGAATATGCAAGCTCAGCAGCTTTCCTTACCGTGAAAACCTACGCCTAGAAAATACAGCTCTGACAGTTTGGATGGTTGTCTGAGATCTGGTTCAGCTCAAAAAATTCTGGTGCAAGCTAACGTGTTGTACATGGGCTTCTTCCACGGACCGGTTCATTTGAGACATTGTTCAATGCTCCATTTATGTCCAGGAAAGTACCGAATGTATTCCTGGGCATCTCTCAGGGTTTAAGGTTAATGAGTGAAGTGCAGCTTAAGTGGATCTATTCTTAGCGTAGGAGTGTTGTGCTCTTGACACGTTAACCGACAAGAGAGGTTTAAAATTCCAAGTTTAGTGAGCTCCCACTCCCAGAATTCTGCTCTTGTTCACAGTCGGCTTAAAACTGTAGACAACAAATCGGGACGAGAAGTGCCCGAATTTATTTCGATTCAGCATAATTAATAATTATTATGATTATTAATTATTACTGACATTAATAAGCTTCTCTTAAAAAACTCATCGGCAACTTGAAGACACGACCATATTTTGAAAAAATATCAAGACGCTCTCCACAAATTGTGTGAGGGTCTCATCCGCAGCAATTTCCGACATTTTACGTATAAAAGTTTCGAGTTTAAGCAAATTTCAGACTTTTATTGTTCATCACACATTTTTATATAACTTTCCACTTGATTCTTTTCTGAGGTGTTGACAAAGAGCAATATTTTTTTGTTTCAGATGTTGCTGCAAGTCTCCTGGGTACGGCATCGGGATATTCATTTATTAACTGTTGGACGGTATACATACACATCAGATCAACGCTTCCGCGCAATACATCAACCCCAAACTGAAGACTGGATTCTACAAATAAAATATCCTCAACATCGAGATTCTGGCATATATGAATGCCAAGTATCGACCACACCGCATATGAGCCACTACATTCACCTGAACGTTGTTGGTGAGTACCATAATGAACATGTAAATATTTTATGAAAATCTTAGAAAAGATTTTAAATGGTGACATAAATACTGTTAGTGTTTTGTGTTACAATAAGGTTTTAGTGGAAAAAAGGATCCTCAAATGTACAATTTCAAGTCGATCCGCTAACGTTTATTCGCTGAATTGGATACTCGACAGAGGCATATCTGACAGGAATAAAAGCTCCTTACAGCTGGTACTAGGCTAGAATTCTGCATGAGCTTTTTCTTGTTTATTCTTCCAAATAACCGTTACACGTACTAGATAAAGAGTATTCAGTTATGTCGGTGATTCCTGCCCTCCTGCAGGAAAAGTGAGTGACTGGACTTACTTTTTATGCCAACTAGTTTACTTTCCAGGTCGTACATAATTTGGCCTATCTAAGGATCAGCAATAACACGAATATAATGCCAGCCTTCAAATCGAAAGCAGAAAAAACCTTGTCAATGGGGGAACTGAGTAGACATTTGAGGAGTAAGGTCCTCTCTCGACGAAAAAATACCAAACTCAACAAGGCTCTCCTGTCCTACTGCAGAACCGTGAAAGATGTCGATATCTTATGACTCTGAAGTGTTTGAAAAAGGTTCTCCCAAGATTTAATGCGCGGTGATAACGCCTAGCTTCCCGGATGGTGCAACGATGAACGAGTTCAGGGATATGCTGAGTGGATGAAACCAATCCAGCTCTAAAAGTATTCGATGCAGTAAAAGCTTGTGGAAGCAGAAGAGGAAAATCTTCACTCCGTCAGAAAGATCATGTGGAGAGCGATTTGGTTTCGCTTGGTATTTATAACTGGCGACGGAATTACGCGCTATTGTAAATTCGACGTATCGCATAAGTGTTGTCTGAGTCAATGAAGAAGAAGAAATTTCCTTTCTATTCATCCAACTGGATAGCTTCCTTTCAATGTGGTTGTCGTTATTTTGGCCGATTTATAAGCAGGCAGGGAAAGGGGGGTTAGATGAGTGGGTTTTTGGGGGCGTGGATAGCGGTAGTTAGTCTTGTGCTGGATCTCATTGCAAGCAGGATTTATGAACGTTGGATATGCGGATAAGGATCTGGATAAGTAGAAATTAAGTAGATCTCAATTGTGCCAGTATTCTTCGAGCCTCTCGAGACCTATCCAGCTGTTCGTCTGCAATAGGTGTTTTTTGTTCGTTGGAAAAGAGTTCACGGCGTGAATCGTCCATTTAGCAGTGGATATGTCAAAAGAATTTGAATGCCAACCACTTAGTGCTGATATCGAGCATTGAGGATTCCTCATTATCGCCGAGGTTGAAGAAGTGTACTGTAGCCTACGTGATTGTTCGATGCCCATCGGTAGAGTTTCGAGGTCAAACTTCAAAATCTAAGGTAGTCATATTCGACAGTTTGAGCTACCGTAAAAACAAGCGTTAATTTGAAAATTTTTTAAACCTCTTAATTTGGTATTTGCTCTAGATTTGTGTTGAGTAAAACATTTTGAATAACTATTGTCCTTTAATTTTTTTATTTTTTTTAATTTCAGAGCCTTCTACAGAGATTATTGGTGCGCCGGATCTGTATATAGAAAGTGGGTCCACCATAAATTTGACTTGTGTCATATTGAATTCCCCCGAACCACCTGCTTATATATTTTGGAATCACAACAACGCTGTAAGTTCATAATTTTTGCACATATTTTTCGTATTTTTAGAAATTGAAAAACGTCCTTGTTTGTAATGTTAAATAACTGATTAAATGTTTTTGGTGCCACTGCTAAAATGATCAAAGCTATTCCTTTTAGTAATTTTTTAGAGCCCCAAAGACTCTTACAATAAATCTGAAAAGCCAAGGCAAAAGGTCGCAAAATATGTACAATCTCGGTGACTTTCATAATACTAAAAGTATCGTTTTTAAGAACTTTACTTGACTCGATAGAACAATCAACAATGTTGGCTGCGGCTGCGTCGTGGAAGGTCGTGTGGCTTCAATTCTTGCCTCAGGTTCACTTTAATAGGTTCCATATGCGAATTTCTTTCCACCTAGTGTAGTAATAGAGAGAGAGGCTCAAATGCGGCGGATAGCCGAAACAGCTGCGATGTTTTTCTATGTCCGCACTCTACGTATGCGTGTTGGTGGTTTAATGTCAAGTAATGCAAATTTGGTGCGAAATTTAGTCACAAGAGCTCTAATGGGCATCTCGAAAGTTCGACTAAACTGAAAATATGAGGAGTGGGAAAAAATTTCTGGTGGGCGCGGCACGACGGTCAAAAGGTATATCTCATAGACCAGCCTGTGACAGAATTCAATACAATTTGATGTTTGTAATTCCCTTAGACTAGTATGAACTCGAATTGAATATGGAGGCGTAGGCGCACGGATTATTTACTTTCCACTATCTGTCCGTCTCAAGATCAACAGAGCTCATCCAAACTTTGCAGGTATGCTACTTTCAAAGCGGAGTAAGATCTATCATAAATTTCAGACATATACCTACTTTCCATATAACAGACCTACAATTCGGTTTTGACCGGTCTGAGGTGTTAGGTGATCTTTGAAGCGTAGATTTCTTTCTTTGATGTCGATGAGACGGCTTGGCTTAGAACTTTTTCTTCGGCCTACTTTCTTTGCTTTTGAATAAAACCAAATAACTTTGACCGAAAAGAAACTGTTTGTTGAGTTACTCCCTCCCATTCGACATGTTCAATAAGAATTTGGCGCGGATATTGATGTAGTAAAGCCTTCTACAAGTCCGGACTTTTTCAAAGAACCTAAAGACGGTAACAGAAATAGACGTTGTTGCATACTAATTATGTTGACAGATGTGAAAAGTTTCCAATAAAATAAGTAATCGCAGCTGGAACCATCTTTGGAAAACGGACCGAATCAATTTTTACCCACAATATATGAAACGCCACCTATCCACTGACGTGTTTGTTGACACTGTGAATCAACACCCTCAATATCGGGTAAATTTTAGAAACATTAAAATTAAAAAAGAAATCAAAACTATCGTGTTTTTCAATCCATGCAACGTCCAATATGTGCCTTATTTCCCTCTGATTTTAATATAAATTAGTTCGCCGTGTCGTATGAGTAACATTTACTCTAGAGGGGAAAAGTGCATACAAATTCTTCGCCATGAAAATATCTCAATTTGCATTATTTATGGAAACATAAATTTTTAGCGCCGTTTTTAATTCTTATTAATAAAAATTTGATGAAATAAATTTTCATGATTTCAGATAATCAATTATGATTCCCCACGTGGAGGGGTATCGGTGGTAACAAACAAAGGCGAAACTACAACTTCCTTTCTTCTTATAAAATCTGCCCGGCCTTCAGATTCGGGGCACTATCAATGTAATCCATCAAATGCGAAACCTAAAAGTGTAACAGTCCATGTATTAAATGGTAAGTATAAATACTAAGCAATTTTATTACGCTATATGTATACAAAGATATGTGCGATTAATGGGAAGGTGGGTAACGTTGGAAAAGTTGAAAAAGTCTCCAGTTCAGAAGTACAGTGGTGCAGAACTGCTTTGCATCGGCAGTTTCGAGGGTTTTGTGGTCCATTTTTGCTAGACAATTGTGATAAATTTTGAGCAAAGGGTGCCGAAATTGATTTTTGACTTCAAAATATAGTTTTTGGAATATATTTGTTGGTTCTAGTTTTCACGAGATTCATAAAAGCATTATTTTAAGACTCATAATGGTGTTGAAGGACAGCAAAAAAGATGTAAATTAAACAGGTGTTTCTCATTCCGTTTCCAGGGGAATTCCCAGCAGCAATGCAGCGCGCGGGTCCAGCGTATCTTCGAATGTCCCAAAGTCGGTATCTCCTAGTGTACCTGTCAATGTACTTGTGCACCTTAGCGTATACCAGATGGTATATGCCGTTATTGGCGACAACTGGCACCAGGATAGCAAACATGTGAAGCATCTGTTTGAGTGGATTCTAAGCGCAATCGTGTTGCTGGCGACAGAGTTGCTTGGAAAACGACAATTGAGACGAAGAAAGTGTGAAAAGTTTTACGACGAGTGCGGCTGCTACTTAAACGATTTACAGCTCAAATCAAATGAAAGTCTTCAACAACAACAAAAAGCAACAGACACAGAACATAAACAACGCATCGTTGAAGAAACGCTTACGAGTTTATTTCAAAAATCAAACCCCTTTATTACGGTATACAGCCGAGTGTCGTCGTTACTTAAGAGCCTTTATTCACTGCTCGGCAGACACAACTTCGAGCCGGATATAAGGTGAGTGCATTTGATTTGGTTAAGTCATATGCGTTCTTTGAATGAGGGAGTAATACAAACTCAAAGCATTCGCACTATACTCAACTGAAATCTATACTATTTGTATGACAATGAAATCTGTATTATTTCTTCGCGTTAAAGCATTAGACAAAATGGAGGAGTGCATGTAAACTTACTCATAAATAAAAAATATAAATAAATGTAAATAATTATAAAATACACCTTAAACCACATACAATGATAAGATATAGAATAAATCATAATTGAACGGCAATAAAAATTGTTTCAGTGTAGACTACATTACAGAGTAAAAATTCTAAACTTCTAAAAAAGTATAAACCAAAATTAATAAATAAAGTTCATGAAAATTACTACGCGTAAATGTAAAGTAAATGTTCTGCCGAACCAGAGGTTTTATTAGGCAACATTATGCAACATTATTCCCCTTAGCTATGTTTGTATGTAAATCAGACCTAAGTCTTCATAGCGGTTCTCTACGAGAATTTTGATCTGGTTACCAAAGTAAACTTTTAATACAAATCATAAAATCACGTTTGATATACATATGTATGATGCTTGTAATCAGCTCTAAGCTGTTAATGATGAGTTTGTTATTTTAATTATTATTATTTTTGTTTCTTTGTTTTTAAAAAGAAATATAAACAATAATCATGTGGAAAATTCTTCAAGACATTTTCTGGAAAACCCTAAACTACCAGAGTTGAGTCTCCCTTTAAATTTGTGGGTAGAAGCAAGAACGACTAAAAAACTGTTAAGTTGATTATGCTGCCATCAACAGCCTCCTTTACTGGTGCTCAACCAACGACACGATTAAAAACAAAAAAATTAACTCAACGAAGTGACTCTGTTTCGCCTCCACGCCATATGCATAAATAAACCCAATTGGAATCGAAAATGTTCAAAGTGTATGGGTAATATCCGCAAGAAACGAGCGTTTCGTATCGGTTCAAAGCGCAAGAAAATTTATTTTGGCTGAACGAAACGGCAGACATTTTTTGGGCAATATGAGATCTGGCCTTATGATGCGTGTCCTACGGTACATGGACATTCCTATAAAGACATTAGGCATACAATTTCAGGAAATGTTGGTACCAATAAGATACTTTGAAGCTGTAAGCTTTAGATCTCGTTTCACTACCATTTTTGAAAAAGTTTTAGAAAAACGAGATTCTGTTCTTTTATTCATTTATTTATTTTTTAAGCACGAAATTTTTTTTTTGATATTTTCCTTTTAGTTTTTTAAAGAATTATTTTCGCGTATTTTCAAAAACATAAAAGTTATTTGGTTTAATCGATCTTATAAAAGTATTTTTAGCCTTTGGAAATTTAGATAGATAATTTGTTTTATAATATACACATATTTATGTTACAAAGAGTTTTGAAACGACATTTTTGCTTTCAAATTATGGAAAGAATGTGTTTTTGTTTTGCTTTGTGCCTAAGACTTATGGTAATTATTATCCCAATCGACCAAATTAGTCCATAAAGTGCACTCCGATAACTCACTGTGAGTAGGGACATTTTAAAATATTTAAGTGGTTTTACAGTTCTAAAAGGCTCCATAAAATTACCTTTAGATATTCTGATCAAACTGCACCTTTCTTCTGACTCTATTTTTATTGGTAGGTTCTCTGTTTACTGTGTTTCTCGTTGTTAATGTGACAACCATTGAATGAATTGGTTTGCTTTCTATGTGTTGTTAGTTTAAAAAAAAATGCGCCTAAAAAGAAATAATTTTACACAAAGTGTTTTATGCATACAGATTCGTACGTATGAAACTAAAAGAAAGAAAGAAAATGCTCAAATTTATTTATAATAAATTTCTATGATACTTATATTTGTTGCTTTTTAGATGCTTTTTTCACTTTGTACTTAGGTTTCTTCGGCTCTTCTATACAAACATGGAAGATCCACCAGCAGAACGCGTGATTTCCGTTAGCATTCAAAGCAAGCCAATTCCATACATATTCATGAATATAAGAATAGAGTGCATTTCAAAGTTAAAGGTTTATTCATATGTGCATTTAAATAAAAATAGATAAGTGAGATAAATATAAAAAGTTAGCGAATATGATTCGAAGCTATTCCTCTCCTGGTCTCATTGAAGATTTCTGTTAATTACAATAGTTTGAAAAATGCGAGCCTGAAGGTTTCTCATTCGCTTCTTGGCAAAATATATGAACGCTGATAATCTCAATTTCAAAATTTTATAAAACAACTGCTCGGTTCCGTAAAAAAATATTAGACTTTTTCCAGCAATTACCTTAAATATCTAATGAGAAGGAAAATAGTTTAAGTGAAAAAGTCAAAGGCTCTAAAACTGTTTATGAGAGCGACAAATGAGTATGAAAAACAAATTTGTTTCATTCAATCCTTCATGAAAGCTAGCAGGTTTTTGATTCAGTCCGTCCTAAAAATATGAAAATGTAAAAACTTATTGCTTATTCTCTTTTATACGGGTCGATTGCTGGTAGCCCGACAATCATTCGACGGTTATAGTCTGCGTGTACTGATGTATATATTTTGTATATATATATTATATACTTATTATTACAGTCTTCAAGGGAAAAAGGTTAGCTTTGCTTTTCTTTTTTTAATGGAATCTTTTGCAACATTGCAGGGCGTCTAAATATCTTAGCAGCTCAACGTATTGAAATTTCAAATGCAAAAAAAAAAAAAAATAAAATCCTTTTACTTTGAGTGTCATGTGCCATGTCAGCTTCCGAGATGCCATATAATTTTGATAATTAAAATATATATATATATATAATTGGCGCAATTACAATGCTGAAGCGATTTTCGGCCGAGCTCCTCCTCTAATTTGTTTTTCCAACAAATGGAGGGGCCGACAGTTTATACTAAGCCGCTTTCGAACGGCTGATGGTTTTTTTATGAGGAGCTTTTATTTGATGTCATATCCCTGCCGAGAGGCGACCGCAATAAGAAAATTTAGCTTAATTATTTATTTAAAATAAATTTTCATGCTTGCATGCTTGTCATAGCAGGATTTGAACTCGGTCCTTCTGAATGGCAGTACGCTATGCTAACCACTCTTCACTGTTTGGCGCCAATTGGAAATATCAAGAGAAACCAGGTCGCTCTGCACTTGCACCATCCAACGGAGTGGCGGTATTGCATCGGTAACTTTCAAAGCTGCAGTATTGCTATCCATTTTGCATAACCTAGCGAGCATAGACGCTGTCTATTGATCACTCGCCCTGTTCATGGTTCCATTGTATGCGGCATTCGGCATTGTCAATGCGCAAAGGACCATCAATATTTCGATAATTTTTTCTTTCGAAGACTCCCAAAGCCAACTCATCATCATTATCAGCCACACAGATAAAGTTTAATCAGTTTGTTGATGATGGGCTCTCGTCTTTCACATGGAGTGCTAGATAGTTCCCACCATAGTATGCCATGGTATTAGGTGCGGACCGTGGACCCCATTTTTATGGATTGTGCGGAGCACACTCAAATTTCAATCGTCGGAGATGAAGAAAGAAGAAGCTGATGCATGCATCTTCTTAGCTTTTCCCAACCATTTTTAAATAGCCTTGACGGCAAGCCGTCGGCTCTAGTCACTTCGTTGTTATTTAAGCGAGCAATCGCTATTCGAACCTCGCCATAGTCAGCGAAAGAAATGTTCTTTTCATTATCTTCGTTTACGGTTTCAGATTTACTATTTCCGGGTGTTGCATTTTTACTACGATTCACCAAGTATGCTTCCGATATCGGCCAGCAGAATACCAGATTGGTTACTCCATGAATAGGTTTCGGTTTTGAAACCTTCTGTGAGTCTCCGCAAGCTTTCGTAGAATTTTTGGAGCATTAACCTTCTCGGGCAGCTCATTTCACGTATTTATGCCTCTTTCTCTTTCGTCTGCAAATGCGTTCAGCTCACGATGTTGAGAGGGAGAGTTGCTTCGTCATTATTTCTTGCATTTCTAAATGTAAAATAGTTTCATAATTCAATATAATGCTAATTATTATAAATTGAATGTAAATTTTGATAATTTTGTGCGTTTTGTATGAAAATACATTATAAAGAATGATGAATATATAGATAATATAACATAACGGTAGGCATTTAACGTGCTTAACTACAGTCTTATATAGTCGGATAAAACAAAGTACTGATTAAAGCATATTGTATATTTGGAATAAGGTACCTTAAAGAAATGTTATAAATAAATAAATATATATATATATTAATATTAATATTGCATTCATTAAATAAAATTAAATTAACAGTCAGTCACATGCAAATAAAATACGAGTCAAATGCAAGAAAATGTTAGATATAAAAATTAGATTAAAGTGAAATGTTTTCAAGGTGAACCTTTAAGTGTAGACTTCGAAATAACGAGTAAGTTTAAGTTCTTTTATCTGCACATACTGTTACCTTTTGTACTATATACATATATATTTTTGTTTTAATGAAACAAACGAAAATTAAAACGTAATTAATAAGTAAATAAAAAAACAGAACAAAACACAAACTAATTAGTATAATTTCATTTGTTGTTGATTTGAATAAAGTTCATCACAAATGCATACCCTTAGGTAATAAATTTAATAAAAAAAATATATATAACAAATAAACAAATAAAATGATGAATAGCAAAGACAAACAAAGGAAAATGCAAAAATCGCAAAAAATACAAAAAATACAAAAAATACTAAGAATACAGAAATCAAAGTTGAATGTTTAGAATAAATAATAACAGCTAAATAAGTAATTGAAACAACTTACAATAAAATCCTTGCATAAAGTAAACTGAAACACACTAAAGTCCGATGAAACTGAAACTCTCCGGCGTGGGAACAAAAAAAAAAAAAACAAAAAAAACCATAAATATAAAATAAAATTTACGCAATAAAAAGGTATTCGCCATTTTCAGGGGAAGGAAACAAGTTTTAAAAAGCATAAAAAGTTTTGATGTTGCAAGCTAATTTCAAGCCCTTTTTTGATGATTTTTAAAATAAACTATTGCATGTTATATTATGTAATTATATATATATGTATATATATATTTTGTGATGAATCAAAGCAGTATTTTGTAACACCTTTTTGTCTTATGAGATGTGTATGTATATTTTTCAGAAATAAATAAGTCTACCGTCACTATTGTTTACACACACTACTTAGTTTATAATATTATAATAACGGTAAAACAGATATTGCAAGTGCGCATAAGTGTGGATTTATATAGCAAAGTTCAACTAAATTTAATAAAAATTTAATAAACAATTATGTAATAATTTCAAAGTGTTAAATAAAGGCTAAAATATTGTATTAATAAATGAAGGTAAAATCAATTTCATATGATTGGTCTTTTATTCAAAAACAAAAATTTCATTAGACACTCGGGTATGTATGCCCTGTTTCTTGTACTTAATCCCTTCCAGGCAACCATTAATTGTTTCCAATTTCATTAGATCATCCTAACACCCACGTGTTGAGCGTTTTAATGTTCCCGTAGAGGGGGGAGGGTGGATAAGTAGTAGAAAGAAAAAAAATTATTTTGCTTTTCCAGGTGGATAAGTTTTTCGGACCTTTTTATTCTCAAAATACACTAGAACTGTCTGCAAGGCAGTCAACGCAATGCGGCTCTTTTTTCCGCCCTTTCCCTTCATTGTCTACTCTTTGTCGCTCTAATATTGAAACGAAGTACGGAAACATCTTTATCGTTATAATCGAACGACAATATTCCTTCCGAGCTCCAAAAGTCTGTTGCCATGAGTTTCCCATCAGACCCAATAAACTTATTGGGAGACGTGTGCCCTTTTTGCGGCTCTACATAGAGTCTTGTTTCGACTCAAATTTATATTGATGAACCCATAATTCTACTCCAGCAACTATTTGACACATTACAGAGGTCGAAAAATTTATGTGAACGTGCTGTTATTTTTGAGAGGACGTGAGAATTATCGGCACCCATATTGCACATACCTTAGCCAAGCCAAGATGGATTTTAAAATTGTTTGTGTTGTAATCTCCAAGCATATCTAAGAAATATTCTTCTTTAATTGAGCATCCTCGAGAACAATTTTTGACCTCTTTGTATAAGTTCTGGCGTGCTCCTCGAAACTCCTGTCCTGAGTCGTCTCCAAAAGATTCCATTCCCTGTTTAAATGACATCTCAACCTTTATAACGGCACGACATTC